TTTAAAGTAAATATTAAAAATATGCTGCGGTGGAAATTGAACTTTATTTTTGCATATTTAGAGCCAGCCTGCCCACCTCTCCCCCTCCTCCCTTGCTCTGTCTCTCTCCTTCCTTTCATTTTGAGCAAGGGTTGTTTTGGTTTGTTTGTTTGTTTGTTTGTTGTATTTTTTTTTTTTGTTTTTGTCTGGTTGGTTTCTGGTTTTAATTCTTATTAATCTTTATTTTGAAATCAGGATACAGGATAAGAGGTTTCCTTTGGACATTCACGCATACTTCGTTTTGGTTGGTTTCCCCGCCCTCATTTGTCTAACAGGTGTTCGCCCTCACGTTCTCTTGCATTCTAATCTTCACACATGTGTAATTACGTGGGAGTTTGTAAGTCATGAAGCCAGAATAAGAACAACAGGAGTAAAGATGGTTTGTAGGAACGGGTTTGGGGTGGAGACTAGATTAAGTCACGTGACAGTGGGAAGGAGACTGCTGGGGGCAGAAGGGTATTGAGCAAGAGTTCCTGTCCAGCAAACCCTCGGAGCTGGAATTCCTGGTTTGGAAGGAAGTATATTGCTGTAGGCAGCTAGCTCCTTCCTCAGCCTCGTGCCCAGCTTACGGCAGGGTGTGCCTTTCTCCACCCCACTGCCATCCACACCATCCCTTTCTCCAGTGTCTGAGGGCAACCCACAGATGCTGGCGTTTGTCTTCTTAGGTGAGCTTATCCACTTACTACATGTTCAGTGAATATTTCTATTTCTTTTTGTGTTCTTTGATGTCTACCAGGGTTTTTTACCTTCCCATAGGGAGGATTTAAAAACACACAATGGCCAGTTGCGTAATCTAGAAGCGCCCAACTCTTTTCAGCCTATCAAAATGTTCTTCAAAATGAAGATTCTCTTACATCACACGTCCGCATTCTGAGAGGTGGGACTTCCTACCTGGCACTCCAGCCACGTAAGCCTTCCGGTACTGTCAGACCTGAGTGGTACCCGGTAGCCCAGAGCATGCGTGATTTGGCTGGGATCCACCCTCACACGTCGCTGTAGATCCTTCTGACATGGTGTTTCATGGGACCTTAAGATGATGGGTGTAAATGTGAATGCTTGGAATGGTGATGGGGTCACAGCCTGTTGCACCCTGTGCCGCCACTGACGTAACTGAGGAGGAGAGCCCGTGTCGCTTTGTTTAGTTGCTCTTTGGTAACTTTTTTCAGCATGGAGGCCTTCTTCTGGGTGTCAGCCTGCTGTGGTGGTTGGCATGAGAATGAACTCCACACACTCCTACAGTTCTATGCTCGCTCTCCAGTCGGCAGAACTATTTGGGGAGGATCAGGAAGCACAGCCTTGTTGGAGGAGGTGTCTCACTGGGAGTGGGCTTTGAGGTTGAGAAAGAGCACACCGTTCCCGGTTAGCTCTTTCTCTGCCTCACGGCTGTTGTCTCAACAGCCCTCAGCTGCTGTTCCAAGGTTATGCCAGCCTGGCTGCCGCAGCGTTCTCTGCCATGATGGTCAAGGACTCTGATCTTCTGGAGCCGTGAGCCCCAAATTAAATGTTTTCTTTTCTAAGTTGCCTTGATCATGATGTTTTGTCATGGCAATAGAAAAGTTACTAAGGCACCTGTGCTATAAAACCTCACACATGAGGCTCACTCTCAGACATTTATGTATATACCTCTTGTATAGACAGTCCCCCATCTGTCTCTTCTTATGCTCTGAACACCTGGCCAAGCCATCTGTTACTCCATGATTATTCTATTCTCGGGACGCTTGCATTCTCCAGAAGGGGATAAGCAGGTGCACTATCGAAAGCTCTGTCCACTGGGAAAACGTGTCCCTCTCAGCTGCTAGAGAGACTGTAACGCGTACATGCCATCCCGTCTGTCCCTCCGTCTGCTGCCAATCAACCTGTGAACCAAGCTTGGTCTCCATCCATTTTCATCAGACTGTCACCTGGGATGTTCCACGCCACTCCACAGCTCTGGGTGTGAGCCGAGAGAGAGATGCTGACACAAGGAGGATGTGCAGCTGGGGCCTGGGGCCTTGCTCTGTGCTTGTTTCCTCCTTCCGTCCCTGCTTGCGCTTCACTCTGGATGCTCTAACTTTCACCTGCCTCATTGCCTCTGGGCTTCCATGACTCACGCTGGCATCCTAATAAGAAACACTACAGAGTGGCAGGCAAGCAGGCACAAGAAGAGGTGGAAACAAGAACATTTTTTTTCCAGGCAGAGGACAGAGACAGGGCCCCCAAAGTAAGGGATGGGACAGGGGGAATCCATGATAGAAGAGGGGATTCGGAGATAGGACAGACTGGGGCTAACTCATGTAGCGTACATGTACACAGTGGGGATTCAGGATAAGCTCCTGATGGAGTGACGGGATGCCATTGAAGGTTGTTAGGCAGGAGGATAACACGCATGCGCGTGCCTATGTTTGTGTGCAGTATGAATGAAGATGTGTATCCATAAGGCCATACAACTTTGGCTTCGATGTGGAGAACAATTTGGAAGGGAGGTAAGGATGAATGCAAGAGGAACAGGGGGACATTGTTGCAACAGTCAGGGGCAAATGAACAGCTTGCAGGAACAGCAGCTGAAGAAATGGTGAGAGATCATTTAAGAACGGTTTCTGTGCTGGGACTGACAGGCTCTGGCGCCTGCACAGATGTGTTCACAAGTTGACGGTTCTGGGATCAGTCTCCATTTCTGGCCAAGCAACCGAGAAATGGTTATCCTTACTAGGAAATCTGTTTGGGACACAGGAGGTCCGGGGAGGGGGGTCTGAGACATCCAAGTTACAATCAAAAGCAAGACTCGGAGCAAGTGGTGGCATGCACCTGTGGCCCCAGCTCTCAGGGGCAGAAGAATCACCGTGAGCTTGCGGTCTGGTCTGTATAATGAGTTCCAGGCTATAAAGACCGTGTCTGCACGAACAAGGTGTAGAGTCAAAGCCTCAGAGGCAGAATCAGCTCTAACCGTGCAATCCCAGTCAACAGCCAGCCATAGGGTGTGGGGTGGTGAGAAAGAAGGACCGACAAGCCCTCGGGGACCTTACCCTTGTAGGGATGGGCTGCAGGGGAGTTAGCAAAGGGTCGAAAGGGAGGCGGCGGCCAAGGAGAAAGCAGAGAGCTCTCCCTGCCTTTCTATCCTGTTCTCTCACCATCAGACAAGACAGGCTTCAGCGAGACCCTTTAAAATGGAACATGTTTCATGCTACTTCTATGTTCTGCATTCATTCAGATTAAAAGGTCAGGCCTTTGTCCCGAGCAAGGCTCCACAGACTGCCAGTCGCGATTTCCTCCAGCTTTCTGTGTCTCTCCACAGGTACTTTGAGAAATGTCGAGGATAAAAATCTACAGACTTAGAAATTTATCCTTTTAGGGTATGTACTGGTTAGTGTTTGTCATATCGACACAAGCTAGCGTCATCTGCTGAGAGGAAACCTCAATTGAGGAATTGCCTTTTGTCAGACTGGCCTGTGGGCAAGACTGTAGGGCATTTTCTGATTGTTGCTTGATGTAGAAGGGCCCAGTCCACGGTGGCAGTGCCACCTCTGGGCTGGTGGTCTCAGTCCTATAAGGCAGGCTGAGCAAGCCACAGCCTCCCTCCACGGTTTCTGCCTTTGCTGCCATCTGAGTTCTTTCCCCCCTACTGCCCTTACAGATCTACTGTGATCACGATGTGTAAGTCAAATAGACCTCTCTTTGTCATTTATCACTGTAACAGAAGGCGAACTAGAACAAGGTACAGGACTCGGTCGCTTTTTGCACAGAAACTGCCATCAACGGAAACCACCTGCTATGAGCGCCATGTGCCACTTCCTCTGCGCCCTCAGTCCCTAGCAACCTCTTACCCACTTCATATTTCAGACTATCAATTTGAGACCTTTTTGTATTCACAGAATTTATTTGTACTTTTTGTGAATTTTTTCATTACTATGATATTTTCAACATTCACGTGCTGTGGTGTCTGTTAGCACTTGTCCTTGAAGTACTTGAAAATATCCTTGAAGGACGAAATGAGTTCCCGTTTGTGAACGTACTGAGTATTATTTATTAAACGCTATTGGTTGGTGGAACATTTTTTTTCTATCTTTCAGGCATTGTGGACAATGATCTTGAGTGTTTGTGTGTAGATTTTTCTGTGGAAAATATTTTAATAATCACATGGAAACTCTGCATAACTTTTTACCTGCCCGACTGTTCCACAGTGCACTCGCCTCCAGAAATGGATGGGAGTACCCGTTCCTCCTTATTGTTTTAACACCCTCCACTGTCCACCATTTCAATTACAGCTGCCACAGTGTTTGCGGATGGTGTCTCACTAAAGCGTTAACCTACATCTCTTAAGGACAAACAAGGCTGAGCATCTTCTTGTGTGCTGATTGGTCATTTAAACATCTTTGCCTGTTCACTTTATTGTCCATTAAGAAAAAAACTGAACAGTCATTTATTCTTTAATATGTTATAAATGTTCTGTACAAATGACTTTTGCTCTGTATTTGCAAATATGTTCTGTGGGGGTTTTTTTTGTTTTGTTTTGTTTTGGTTTGGTTTTTGTTTTTTGTTTTCCTGTGCTGAAAATGAGCCAAGGGCCTTGCACACATGAGACAAACACTCTTCCACCAACTGTATCCTTAGCCCTTATTTTCTTGGGACAGGGTCCCAGGTTGGCCTTGGACTCTAGACCCTCCTGAGTGGGGAAATGCTGTTGCCACCTTTGTAGTTTTGATGAAGTTCATTTATCTGTCTACTCCTGATCCTTGTGGTCCCACAGATTCTTTAGATATGGGGCCTGTATCTGTTATGATAAGAAAAGTGGGGTGATGGCTCTCGGGAACAAATGAAGAAACTTAATTTACAGTTCACAAAAGGAAAGAAATTGTTTGGGAAAATCTTCATTCGTTAGATAGTATAGCCTTTGCTGGTGTGTACAAAGTAAAAGTGAACCACAGACAAGTTTTCATACAGTTAGCTGGGTGGAGCCAAGGGACAGAATAATGAATGAGACCACCTCAGGGCAAACAATTTAATATCTGTGCAACTTAAAGTGATTTATAATTGCTCAGGTATGTCTGGAGTATACTGAAGAGAAACTTTCAAATCAGCCTCGTGTCAAGCAGTGCTGTGTGTGATTCTGGGCAGTGAAATCTGGCTTTCATATTCAGCATCTTAGAGTAGAGAGATGGGGAGGCGAGTTCTGCAGGAGCTGAGGCGTCCTCCACAGGCACACTCACACAGGCACGTTCCAGGGAACATACGATCCAGGTTCATCTCTTGGAATCTGGAAGGAAAAGAACAGATTTGGATGCTGATCACTTAGAAATTTTTTGTGACTTGTATTAAAAACAAACAAACAAACAAAAAACAAAAACAGACAATAATGAAGACGAAAACCACCGCAGGCAACAGGGCCAATGAGAGTTCAGAGAATAACATCATGCAATGTCTAGAGGCGTCCTGGAGAGGGTCTAGTAGAGACATGGGGAGATTTCATCTCTGCGTGCAAAGGGACTAAAGAAACTCGGACCTAGAGTCTGCTTCTCCAGTGTGAGGGAGAGGATACCATTCAGTGCCTGCGCAGAGGGAGGGAGTGTAGAAGAAAGAGAAGGAAAGTTATCTTGTAGCCAAGGGGTACCGGAGCAGCACGGCTTCCTTTACAACCAAAAACCACAACTCATGCTCCTACATAAAAGCACAGATAACGGGAGTACGCATTCAGGGACACTACTGTGGGAAGGTCCTTTCCATCACACTTTGCCGCACTGTTTGGCCATCAGTGGGGATGGGACATAGCTGAGTGGCCTTGATTCTGGCAGGCCACAGCCCCTGAATTCCTTGGCCTGCCTCAGATATCCTTGAAAGGGAGTGAAGCAAGGGAAAATATAAGACACGAGAGAGCGAACCTTCTGTTCTCCTCAAGTGATAAGGAACTGAGCAGGCAGGACTCCAAGCTAGAACAGGCTGATGGGAAGACACAAGAAAGCTCAAGAGCTGTTCTGTCCTGTCCCGCTATCTTCTCTTCCATGGAACAAACAACAGTAGTGGGTTAAAGAGACCTGGCCATGAAGCTAGGAGACAGAAATGAAGACCCTTGTGTTTTATTTTTCCCCTCCTGGGCATAGCATACCATTTTTGTGAACTTGTCTTCACAGGCCATTCTGATCCTCTCTGGAGTCAGTGGACTTCTGAGCTTCAGTGGTCCAGAGATGCCTCTCTCCTGGCGGGCTGCTCTCACTGCATCATGGATGGCAAAGAACACCGAACATCCCAGGAACAACCCGGACTCTCCCAGACCCTTAGGAGAAACGAGCCATGTAGATTATGACCGAAACTGCACCTCCCTCTCTGAACATATGTACATATGTACACACGCAGTGCACAGTAATAGTATACATACATAACATATAGACTGTCGTAAGTAAAAGTCATTTAACCGCTGGCTGATCTTAATATTCTCATACTTACAATTGTAGCTTTAAAAAAAATGATTCCAAATGGAGCAAGCACATTAGCATGAAGATGGTTATCGTAATGTAAAAAAAAAAAAAAAATTAGATGGAATCTTCTAGCTCAGGTTTAGGCTCCAAGATTGGGAATGTCTGGAGCATCTTACCACATTGTTAGGTTATTTTACAATTAGAATGTTTAATAGGTACTCTTCTGCAATCACAGGAAAACCGTCCAGCAACCACGCGAACCAACGTCTCTGCACACTGTAGGTATCAAATAAGTACACCTACTCAGAGAGCGTCAACGGCTTACCTTCGATGAATACAAGGTGTTTGAGTGTTCAGATGGGGGCAAGAAAGAAACGTGCAGCTCTGTGGGAATGTCGAAGATGGCTGGGATTTTGTATTGGTTTGGGCCGCGGCTGTACAGCATGCCCTGGGGAGAGTAACTCAGCTCCTCTATCGTGTAAAGCCCCATTCCTTGGATAAACGCACCTTCAACCTGAGAGAAGAGATGGAGTCACTGCCTGGGAGGCAACACAGCCGGGAGCATTTTGGCTGCTCTTCTGGCCTTCAGGCCTACAGTTCAGGGGGCTCACCAGAGGTCCACCTAAAACTTGTCCATGCTAAATTCCAAGTCAAAGGACCTGGGTTTTAGTCTTGGCTTAGCCATTGAAAAGATAACGTAGATAAATCCTCACAGGGATATCCTCTCCACATACCTTATTTTCTCCAACCATTGAGACAGATGAAACCCTTCACTGACTGACTTTAAACAGACCCAGCAGAGTAAGAACAGGTTCCCAGGGCTGGGGAATCCCTTCATCTCACCATACACAAGTTCATAAGCTGTCTGGCTTTCATCTCTAGGCTCATTTACTCCCCTGTGGCATGAAGGCTTGACCTATGTATTCTCTTAAGTCGTCTCTACAGCTTTAATATGCCAAAGTTCCTAGACATAGATATGTGACCAGAAGTGTCAGGGATGGATCATGATGTTCAATAAATCATGGTCAAGTGCCAAACAATCTCCCAGGTCATGTCACCTCCAAACACTAAGCTAAGTACTTGTTTTCTGTCAAGCATTTACCAGGCAGAGCCTCTTCCCTTCTCTTCCCCCAGCCTCATGGTGGGTCCTCTGGTAAAGGTACCAGGGGTCTCAGCCAAGCATCACACGAGAGTCAACATACAGTATTCTCTACGGATCTTTAATTAGGTTGATACCTTTTCTACTCTTCTACCTGAACACTTTGCTCATTCTAGTCTGCCGACCTGGTCTATACTAAATACCTCCAATTCCACGTGTGTGTGTGTGTGTGTATGTGGTGTATATATGTCTATGTTTGTGTATATGCACGTGGACGTCAGAGATTAATGCCCAGTGCCTTCCAGTATCGCCCTCCACTTTGTCTATTTGAGACAAGGTCTCTCGCCGAACTTGGAGCTCACTGATTCCACAAGATGAGTTCCAGGAGGAAGTCTGCCTCCGTCCTGCCCTGCTGGTGGGAGTACAGGTGTGCGTTGTACTTAACCCCCAGGTGCAGGCCCCTCTTCTAGGTTTGGTCCTGTTTTCCTCAAGCTCTCCCATCATTTGTTTTTGTCTTTTAAAACTACCCAAAGTACCTTTTCTCCCTTTTCTGGAAACGTTAAGAAAACTGAGTTCCGCAGCTGGTCGAAACAAGATTTTGACTGAAGGGGGAGACGAATCAGGTAACCAGCAAGTGGTTCCTTCCTCTCCAGACCTCACAGCAGTTTCTCCCCCATGAACAGGAAACAAGGCAAAACAGCCACACATACCTGACCTATGTCAAGAGCTGGGTTTATGCTATGGCCAACATCCATCACAATGTCTGTTCTGATAGTCTAGTAAAAAAACAAAACAAAACATTTATTTTAATGCAGATAACTCACAGAGAAGCATAGAAATACATGCTGCCAGGTATGGGCTGAAGTCTTTCTTTGGGCCATGTTATTTCAAGACAAAGAAGCAACAAAGATTTTATTATGTGACAAAGTTTATAACCTAAAAACTTTTTTTTTTTTTTGAGTTCGTGTCTCATGTATCCCAGGGTGGCTTTGAATGTGATTGGCGTGGCTAAGAATGACTTTTAGCTTCTGATTCTCCAGCCTTTACCTCCCCACTGATGAAAGGCATGTTCCACCATGCCTGGCTTATACAGTGGGGAGAACCCAGGGCCTCAGGCATCCGAGGCAAACATCCCATTCACAGCACCTATTCTGCATTTCTTTATTTTTATTTTATGTGAATGAGTATCCAGCTGTATGTATGTATGGGCACTCTGTGCACGTTTGGTGCCCATGGAGGCAAGAAGAGTGTCTTGTCACTTGAAACTGGAGTTACAGATAGTTGTAGGCTACCCTGTGGGTACTAGGAACTGAGAGTCTGGACCTTCTGCAAGAGCAGCCAGTGCTCTTAACCACCGAGCCATCTCTCCAGCCCTCACGCAAATACTCTCAACCAGATTAAGCACTATGTTTTCTTTAGAAATAAAAGAATAAAATATCTACTTGCTTTGTTTAGCTTTCAAGCTGGCCGATGCAAGAGACTAAATTTAATCCACCATAACAAACAGTAAAACAGCAAAAGCCAGTATCTTTGGCCTTCAAAACCCCTGTTGCAAAACTCTGTGTCTACGATCCAAGCTAACACAAAGTCCACCCAGCTCAGTGGCATTTCCTGAATGTGTCAGCAAAAAGACATTTAAACTGTTGTCCAACGCGGGAGAGCTTCCACTGTGGTGTGGAAAAGAGTACATCTGCCCTCATGACTTGCTTTCTGATGACCTAAAAGGGCACAGAAGAAAAGACCCTACCTGGGTACCGGCGACACCGCTGCCAAGTCTATAGATCCTTTGATGTGGTAACGGTTTTGAAAGTCTAATGTTAGTGAGGCTCTGTTTTCAAGGGCATAGGCTTATGGTTCCCCATCACTGTATTCTGACAGGACTAGAGAGTGGTCTGGGCTGTGTGGTGGCCTACCTCCAAGAGGACACATAACAAACTCCTCCATTTGGTATTCAGAGCCTGTGCATGCCCCTCCCACCGACCTCTGTCCAAGCCAGGCACTGTGACCACCAGGGTACTGCACAGACAATGGCACGTCACAGTGAAGTGAGGTTAGAGAGGACTGTGGTTTCTGTCTTAGGGTGCTCTCAGTTTTAACTTTCTCTGGGAAGTCAGATGCTGTGTCCTCAGGACACTATTTGGACAATGGGTCATTCAAGAAAAGGAGGTGACTGGCTAACAGCCATGGAGAAACCACAGTCTCCCATTACCGACAGTGTGATGCTGCTTAGAAGAGAGTTCTCTAGCCCCCACCAACCGCCTGGCCATAGCCTCCTGAGAAATCCTGAGCTAGTTACCTAGACAAACTATGTTGATCTGGACGCATGTCCTCAGAGGTGGTGTAAGCCAATAAACATTATTTTCAGCTGCTAATCTGGGGGCTGAAGGGACTCAGATGTGCCCAGCTCCAGCGTGGCACATCTCTGTCGGGCCTTGCCCTTTTCCCCCATTCCCTCTGCCTTGCTAAAAACTTCCTGAAGCTAGCCCCCCAAGGACTATTCCTTTACTTAGTCACTTCCTCCTCCTGAGGCTGACTACCAACGTCCAGCTATCAAAGAATTAAAGTCCAGCAGTCAAGAGCCCCCTTTGGTTCACCTAATTAACACACCCAATTAAAATATACCACAGCCTCCTAACTCATTCTAACACAGCCCTCCTCCTTTTCTCTTCTTAAAAGCTCCACCTGCAAGGTCACTGGCTGCTGGTGTTTTTTGTTGTTGTTTTTTTTTTTTCTGCCTGAGTCAGAAAGCAGCCACTTCAGCTTTTCTTCCCTGCTTAATCAGGGGTCTCTGTGAAGATAGGTGTTTGGTTATGGTCTGTACCTAATCCAAGGTACAGGGGGAAACCTCCACTGTCGGGGGGGGGGTCTCCTTCAGCTGCAATGTATTATATAGCAATAGGTAGCTATATCAATACATGTAATGTATAGAGGTAGCCTCAAAATCTGGGAAATTTTTAGGAAGGCACTTTTACTACCAGGACAATGGCTGAGAAACAGCCAGCACTTGGGGTAGGCTGTCACAGGCTAGCCTTTTGTCTGTGGGTGTTGCCTATCCTGAGCTACAAATATTGCCTATCTCTTAAGATAGTCTGAATACACTACAAGACCTATCTTGAAAGTTCACACTGAAACAAGAGCTGTATCTGTAGGAAGAAAGGGAAAGGAGCCATGTTGGCGCTATGAGAAGAGGCTGGGGTTGAAAGGAGCATGAAGGATTCAAGACAGCAGTGTCTGGAGCACTGAGGATGCCGAGTAAGAGGGCTTATCTTTGGGGATGAGATAACCAAGCTAACTAAACAGAGGAGGGACGGGATGCTGGGCTGGTGATGGCAGCCTTGCTGCCTACCGCCCAGCCCTTCGCCCTTGAGGAACATAGATACAAGCACCTCTGTCCTTCCCCACAGCCTTATACCTAACACAGCTGATTGTGACACAAACACACTCCATTGTGAGTAAGGGTGGCCTCTCACAGGAAACCTCCACCTCGGAGACTATCCCAGACCACTGCGTAGAGAGGGAGCAAAACATGAGGTCACCAAGAAAGGCTGCAGCTACCTCTCGGTGGCAGTGAGAGAGTTAAGTCTCTGTTGCTGGTCATATAAATAAAAGGATGAAGAGAGCATAGTCTATTTAACCCGAGCAAGACACCTGTAAGGTTGACCATGGCAACACCAGCCAAGGATAACAGCTAGCAGAAAGTCAAGGCTAGCAGCTGAAGAGCATGTGTCAGAGATCAGATATCAGCAGAGGTGGGTGGGGCCTTCCACCACCCTGACTGGGTGGGCAGCACATGAGCGTCTTCCTGGTTGGGCTAGAGGGACATTCATAGTACATGGAGACCTTCCATTGGTTCGGCCTATGATACTGCCGGAGAACTAACCAATCTCACAGCAGTTACCCAGACTTCCTCCAGTCTCTGCCAAGGCCTTGTAGAGACCCCCTAGCTAAAGACATTAAGTGGCTTTTCCCCTTTTTAGAAACTCCTCTTCTCTGAAGAACCTCTCACTTTCCCTTAATTTCCCACTGCTCTGTAATTCTCTCTGTAAAGCCTGCTTCCACTTTACATATTCCCACGAGTGTCCACACCTGCAATTTTCACTAGCGTGAGTCAGCAAACTCAGAGCCACTGTCCCAGGTCTATCTTTGGTGACTATGGGTGTCTAGGTCCCTGCATCAAAAACATTAGTGGACCAAGAAAGATGCAATTATATTAAAACAAACAACAACACAACCCCTGAGCCAATACCAGGTTAATTATTACTGCTCTTAGCAAGGCCAAAGTATGAGCAAACCTAAACGTTCTGCTTGAGGGAAAAGGGATTCAGACATTAGCTACCAGGAGAGAACACTCAGCACAGAGTGGAGCAAATACTCCAATCCAGGTCATGTGTGCAGTGAATTGTTCCTTTGCCTCAGTCCCAAGTTTCCCCAACGAGATACAGTCTGAGTTAGAATCCAGACAAACTAGATATTCCAATAGGGAGGGTCAATAACGGTCTACATAATTCCAAAGATAAGTCTGCATATTAAGTGGAAAATTGTGCATGTTAACTATCTAACAATGTAGACACAAAAGGTATTTGGTAATATAAAAAACTGGAGCTGGCTTCCAGGTAGGTTTGGGAGCAGATCACTAATCTACTAGTTTAGTCACATGACTACTGATAAGGCTACTGCAATCCCATTTTATGTACCTGTGGTCATTTATATGACATATATATATATGCGTGTGTGTGTGTGTGTGTGTGTCACATATATATATAATGACCGATGAGTGTTCTCTTTACCACTGAAGACCGAGTACAGAATGGGAAGCTAAGTCCTTGAAGAATCTGGTGTGCATGTGTGAGTCCACAGTTCCCCCTTAACAAACTATAAGATGACACTTCAGCTATCTAAGGAGAGGGCCTGGTTGGCCCCTGCCTGTCCCGAGGTGGCCCTTGGTGTTTGTTAGCAAGCTATGGATAAGTACGGTGTCCTTTGAGAACATCACACTAAGACACTTCTCATAAGAGGTCAGGGTTGCTAGCTGGGATGACAGCCTACACGGATGCCTCGGTCAGGGTGCTTTGAAGTGGTTTCTTTCTTATTCCCAGTTAAAGGTGAAAAGAGAAAACACACGAGAAGGACCACTATTTCCCTTGGAAGGCGGTATACCAGTAAGGCAGTCCATGAGTTTGTCTTTTCGCTGGATATAGAGCAATCATCCTTCAGTCAAATGCACGTTGCTGCCACACACCCAGCTTTCGTCCAGCATGCAGCACGTGTGGAGTCTAAGCACCTCACAGGCCCAGTCAGAAGACACTCCCGAGTGGGACTGACCTTATGGGCCCCGGTCAGGCAGTCTATTTCAACCTCTGAGCAGGCGGCTCCATACACAAAATATTCGAAGGGATGGCCTTCCCCTTTCTCCCAGTTCATGTCTGCCTCATAACCCCTGAAAGAAACAGAGTGTTGAGGGGCACGGTGAAGTGGCCAAGCCCCGCAGTCACAGACAATGATGATCAAACCAGTGCAAAGGGAGCTGTGCTAATCCAAAGGATACATGCGAGGGCAACGCCAGCACAGAACACACGCTCAAGAAATCACACCTGTTCACTTTGAACTGCCTGGTTCAGAACACGTACTTAATTTAACCCTGACTGGTGAACCTTACTCCTGAGGTCAGTTTCTGACTATGATTATCTGGTGAAGAATGACACCTAGCACTAGTTCCCAGAAAGCTACAGCATGGCTACAGTATGATCCAAACCAACTCTCCATTCAAGCTTGCCCATTTTCTCCAGAAAACGTCTTTCTGGGTACCCAGGTTAGCTAGCAGATAAACGTTCCTTCTAAAACCAGGCCAACCACAGCTTATGAGTTATTTTGGGGGACAAAAGTGCAACTGGAACTGAAATTCTTCCTCAAGCTCATACTGCTGTTTTCCACGACATATGACTGAAGGGACATTTTTACCTGAAATATCCAACAGCCGAGAGATTGATGCTCTGGTCAAAAGCAGTCTGCGCCTGGAAAGGATGAGCATGAACACGGTATGATAAGGACTCCCGAGGGAACTGCTCAGGGAGTTCCCTCTGCACTGTGCGTTAAGTAACGCAATAAAGAGAAGGACCCACGATGGACCGTTCCCGTCATCAGTCTCCACCACATAAGCATTCACGGCTTGTTGTGTAGAGTAGCAGCATTCACTCAGTGCATACGGCTGTAATAAATGTCTGCCATGATATGTTATGCTCATAAACTCAACTATAATGGCCACCCACGTCCCGCTTATGAAGAGATCCATTCAGTCATCCGGAAAGACTTAGGCTATTAGCATGGCCAATTTTGGGAAGCAATGGATGGATGTTTAGTTTTATGTTGTGCATCTATAACAGTTTCAGTTGAGAGGAGTGATTTTGCTAAATTGTACCAATTACATCAAATGGCCTTCTGCTTCTACAAGTACATATGGCTGACTACTAAACAGAAAAACAAGGGTCAGGTTCAAATTCTCAAGTCTAAGAGAGATGGTGGAAGGCGCAGCATTGTAGAAGAGGAGGGCTGAATGGCCGCATCTTGCAAAAGATGGCAAAGGAGGTGCTTCTCAATTGTACGTAGCTGGAAGCAACTTTCTCCAGACAGCCATTTTCAACCTTTCTGGGCCCAGGAAACACCACGCCTGGGAAAAACAAAGATTCCAAAAGCAGATCGTAAAGCTTCACATTCCATAATTATGAATTACATAAGGAGCCTTTGTGAAATGGCAGGAGGTTTTAGGTGAGACTCGGGCGACTGAATTGAGCCTCCAGCATCCTAAGCATATGCACGCTCACCCTGAGTGACCTCAGCCCTGGAATCTTTCCAAACAGAGCTCTGCGTAATATGCTGCCAAACGTGGGTTTTGAAACTGCACAACTAATAAGCTAGAGCAGAGAGCATGACAACTATGCCAGGGCTGCATGAATATCTGTCCCGTATCATCTAACACTTAATAATCTGCCATTTTGAAAAGTTAGCCGGTTTATGAATGAATGTGTGTTTTCTCCTCCATCCAGACTGCCAGTGTATCAGAGGAGTTAGAGACAGCTGTGAGCTGCCGTGTTGGTGCTGAGAGTTGCACCTGGTTTCTCTGAAAGAGCAACTAGTCCTCCGAACATCTCAGCCATCTCTCCAGCCTCTGGTTTCCCATCTCTAAGTGAGTGTCTACAGGAGTGCTACAAAACGACCCCAGCAATGTTTTCCTATTTTAGGCAGTGAATCCGAAGGAGAACAACACGCAGGGGTTAAACAGAAAGCACCCGGGTTCCACAGGAAGAAACGTTCATTAGTTGCAGCTTATGGCAGGAGCTGAAGCAAGGACACCATCCTTCCTTGTAGTAAAAACATTCCTGGGCACACGACTTGTCCTGCTGCGGATGGATCTCCACGCACCATGTGCAGCGGGCCTTCCATTTGTCATTATGCAGGGACAGTGCCTTTGAATCGCCCTTTCCATAAACACAGTTCACACATTCCTCTCCCTCCGTCTATATATTGTGAGTTCCCATGATAAAACCAATGAGTCTCACCCAATCCTTCCACGTCCCACGAGGATTCTTGCTGATGATGGGTTCAAGTCGTTTTAGAAGAGTCTGACAAGCATCCTGTACGTGGTTTTAAGTTAACATTTTAGTAATTTCATGAAAACGTCCATGTCAGAGTGAGATGGTATGTCATCCCACAGAGTTATCCCGAAATGACATAGGAGCTAAGAGACCCAGGGTGTCCACGCAGGAGCTGTTGACGCGGAAGAAGGCTTCACGCAGGGGTGTTTGTATGTTTGAGCCTGTCAGACATGCCCTGGTCTGAAAGACAGTTGCCTTACACACTACCCTAGGTCAAGACTTAACAGAAGGACCATCGCAAACCACCGACCACTGGTTGCAAAACATTAATTTCCTGGGCACGTTTGTTCAGGTTTCAAGGAGCCAGAGTGAAAGGTGATGGAGGGATGACATCACCCAAAGGCCCTGGCAAAAGGTAGGAGGCTGACTGAACACAGAAGTGGGGAAGGTGTTGGGGCTTGGGGTGGAGTTTAAAAACCCTGCTGACCACTGAGGAAGCAGGCACAACACCTCAGTGCTTTGTCACCTACTGGGTCTGTGCACCTGCCTTGTCCTGCCTTGGACCGAGGAGACAGTTAAGAGATGACTTTCTCTTCTGATCCTCAACTGTGGATTTCACCCTGAAGGGTTAATGAATGATGTCACCGCAGGGGATCTTACCTTTACTGCCAACCCGTTGAGATCTGCCACCACAGACCCTCCGGAGCAGTTTGTGTTGGGGACGGTTTCTGTGCTTGTCTCACGCAGGTGGACACTGGACATCGGCATCCTTAATTCACGGCTGACCACCTAGAATTTTAAGCGTAGTTTCTTTTCAAATACTTTGGTTTGTTGTAGCACATGCCTGGCTGACATAGTACACGTGTGTGGCAGCCTTTCTACGCCTGCCAGGGATGAAGAGCAGAACCATGAGTTCCTTCTGGTATAAAAGTTCCCCTCTTCTAAAACCCTGGTTGTGAGTCTGGGTTCCAAGTTTTAAATGCATTTTCTTTTCTTGTGATTTTTCTCATGTGCACTAACATCAGGAAAGGGGTCCAGGCGAGTGCAGCTTCCTCAAGTCTCTGCAGTAATGCAATCAAGGCCGTTGGGCTAGCGTCACCACCGTACTTTGCAAAATTCTAGCGGAGTGGACATCACTTTAATGGGAGCTGCCTGATTTCTAGGCCCTTTTCTGGACATGCTGCAGGATCAGAGCACCGCTCAGGAAGGCCATGGCCCTTAGGAATACATGCATCACCGGAGGAGAGAATGATGCTGAGGATTAAGAGGCAACATGGGACTTAGAGGCTTCTCCAGTCCATAGTTTTAGTGCTGGAGAAAATAATTTTAGCTGACTCAAAAGTCATCCTTCTCTAGCTAGCAGTAGGCTTGCGAGTTTGTCCACAGCCTGTCCCAGGACACAGACGTCCTGAGCCTTCCATGATGGGTGGCTCTCAGAAAGGCATCTAGACAGAGCACACAGGCTTTCAACGCAAGATCTTTAGCTCAAGACAGAAGGCATTCTCACTGAAAAGTAGACCTAAACAGTTTTATTAGCAGCCTAAAACCAAAAACCAAAACCAACCCTACACGCCCAAGTCCTTATGATTAAAAAATAAAAATCTAAATTACGTCACTCGAGTTGCTTTCATCCACCTGACAAACTATCCAATTTTTTTTTCAACAGTTCATCAAATTTAGTGTTAGTTAAGGGTAAAATGCTACTGATACTTTATGGAAAACAATTTAGTGACATGTCAAGTATCTCCAAATACTCATACCTCATAGTAATTCCTCTCCGGGTGGGTCACTTTCAGAAACCAATTACTGAGAGGATCACGGGTTTATTTTGAGAAATATTCACAGCCTAATTCAATATCTGGGGTGGAGCTAATTACAAATACACCCCCCCCCAGGCAACCATTAAAAGTCACGATTGTTAAGAATATCCGTTTGCTTATCGGCTTTATTTCTGAGACAGGATGTTACTATGTGACCAAGTCTGGCCTGGGTTTCATCCTCCTGCCTGAGTGTTAGGATTATAAGCCTGCACACCATGCCTGTCAATTGTTAAGGATTTGCAATGATGGGAAGCAGTGGTTATTCTTTGTAAAGCTGGTTGGAAAAAAACATGATGAGGAACAAAATTACAGCAGCAACATCTCAGCAATTTTTACTGTAAGAAAATCAGATGAAATAGAAGGACCCCCAAAGTAGACTCGCTAATAAAACACTGGCTGGAGATATCAAGTCTGATTTATGTTATTCATTTTTCAGAGCCCTTAATATAAAAAAGGCAAGAAACACTATAAGCCCTCAGAATTTATTCATCTTTCCACCACCCACGAAAATCTCAGAAAAGGACAATTCCATTGTCAATACACCCAAACGGAAGCAGAAAACAAACATAAACCTTCTTTAGCAACAAAACAAGCCCATCTTTTGGTGCATGTTTTTCTGGCTTTCAGTAACAAAACTGACTTGTTTACCCAGCTTCCGCCAATAGCTTAACACTGTCAAACTGACAGCCTTCTGTCATGAACCCATCTGTGAGCGTATACTCAACGAAACCCAGTGTTTGTACTCTTACCTGAATTATTTTAGTGTGGACACCCTGCCCCATCTCGATCCCACCATGAGTGACCAGCGCAGAGCCATCGAGATAAATGTGAACCAGGGCAGCTGCCTGAGGAGGGGATGAAAAGAGATGAAGCCAAAGAAGTACTCTCACCAGTGTTGGGACATTCTGCTGCAACTAACGCTTTCTGTCTCTCCCCAGGCCCTGCATACATACGCGAATACATACATGCATACGTACATGTATATACATCTTCCAGGCACGGCTAGGGCAATGGCAGGGCAAGAGCCACTTGGTGATCACCCCACTTTCTCTGGTGGCTTCGAGTCTTTTGGAGGACCGTGATCCTAAGGTTCTGCTTTGTATTTAGGGATTTAAGGACAACGGGTATCTCCAGGGTTGGTCTCCCCAGGGAGGAACCACATTTTAGGTTTCTTTAGCAGGGGGAGGATTTTTTTTCCCATTTTAAAATGCAAATGTATGCACACATAGGTTGATCGGAAGGGAGAACAACTGTGCACACACATATTTCCATAGCTGCACGCACATTATACAGATCTCAAGATGCCAAGCCAAAGGCGGTGCACTGAGACACAGTCATTGTTCGGCTGCAACATGGCCTCGGATCAAGCTTGAACAGTGGCTCTCCACCTCCCCAACGCTACGACCCTTTGCTACAGCTCCCCATGTTGCGGTAACTCCCAACCACAAAATTACTTGCTATTTTCATAACTGTAATTTTTGCTACAGCTATGAATAGTAATGTAAGTATCTGATATGCAGGATATCTGATATACGACCTATGAGAAAGGGTCATGTGACCCAGGGAGTCATGGCCCCCCAGGTTGAGAACCCCAGGTGCAAACCATTTTGGCACAGAACTTCAGACCTCAGGAGCAATCACCTGACTGTGCAGTTCCTCATAAGGACGCAGGAGCGACCGAGCTGCTCAGAGTCAAAGTCCCCTCTCCTCAGAAGCATCGAGATTAAGTGAACAGATTTTACCACTAACACTTGGCTTCCTTCCCAAGGCTCCCTGTGCCAGAACAGTTCTGCTGTGGTGTCTAACTCATTGTGTCTCTGTTTATACTGATTGTCAACTTGCAGGGACCTGGAATCACTCTGACATGGGTAGAAAGCTCTGGACATTCTAACCAAGGAGTCAGGAGTTTGGTTGGGTGGGAGAATTCACTCTGATGTGGGTTGCACCACTCCAAAGGCTGGGGGCTAGACTCTGTGAGGTACGCTGGGTGCTACCATTCGTCCGTACCTGCTTCCTGAGTGTGGACACAGTGTGAGCGGCTGCCTCAAGTTACTGCCCGCCCCTCCTTCCCTCCACGATGCCAGGGTTAATCTGGGATTTAGAGAGGGAAGTAAGATCTATAGAACATTCTAGTAACAAGGTAATTTCTACTTCATAAACCTAAAATTCTACCAAGATGCTATTAACTCAGATTTGTAAGCAAAGTTTAGGAACTGCATGTCAGTTCCTATTTTCCTCGATTCTTCGCCCACCAAAAGGACGTTCACATCCGCTGTGGCCTGTGGACCACACCTGGAAAACTGCCTCTTTATCATCCGAAGGTGTTCATTACCTCGTTGAATAAGCCAAAATCACCACCTTTCCAAGGAAGACACATTTGACAGTGAACACAGTCTCCATTTTCCTGGTCAACGGGGTTATGTCTTGACAAAATAAGGATAGCCTGTATCCGAGGGCAAAGGCTCATCCACTCAGTGCCCAGGTAGATGTCTTAGATCATCAAGCCCTCTTCAGAGCCCAGAGCTGGCTGCCCTGCACTGTGGAGTCAGATGTAGCAGTCCCTTCTGAGCTTTGTTCTATTACCTTTCACAGTACTCTGGTAGGGACATATCCTAAGCCATCCCTGACAACTGGACATAATGTCTCAGATATACTAGGCACGTGGCGTGTTTGATACGCTAACTTGCAAGAGCACAGTGGTTCGATCTAATTCCTAAGTTTACAGGTTCTGTGTTTTTCCTCCTTGGCTCTGGTACTGAATGTGGGCGGAGTCCACAGGTGGACTTACTTTGTGGGAATAAACTACAATTACACTGGATTTTGTGTGTTCTCCACTGTATGGCCCTGCTGGTGGCAGCATTCTGCCTGCGGGCCCAGGGCAGCATTTGTATCAGGGGTGGCTGAGTACTTTGTTCCATGTGGTGTCGCAAACTCTTCCAGCCACTGAAAATGTCAAATTTGGTTCTGTGAAGTGGCACCGCCACACAGGTCACTCTTAGCATCGCAAGAGATCGTTCCCCTAAAGCGCCAGCTATAGAGCCAGCACAACGGGCATGCTGAGGAGGACTTTGTTGGCTTGGTGAGATGCCTCTGTCAGGCAACATCTGTGGCCCTACTCTACGCCACTGTGATAAGCCCTGGACACACAGAGGTTAACTAGATGCCAGCTGCATCCTTCGGGGATCACAGTCTAGAAATGAAAGAATCTGTGGGTGAGGCGCATTTGAACCCTTGAGCAGTACGGTGATAACGGCTTCCACTCGGGAAGGCAGCATGAGACAATGAAAACGTGAATCTGGGGTTGGATGTGCTGAAGTCAAATTTTTGTTCTGCTACTCGATGGCTGGGTGACCTAGAACTATGGGAATATGTGTGTAGACAGCTAGTCCCCTCCCCTTCAACCTACGTCTGCATAATTTGCATTTTAAACAAAGGGTCTTTGAATATAAAGTGAAATGTTACTCTCCCCAAGGACAGGGAGAGAGGAATCCCTGGAGATAGCCAGGCCCCTAAATGCCCCTACTTAGGAAACAATACCTTATGAGACTAATTGCTATAGCCCCGTGTCTCCTTCCAGAAGGCAGTTGGAACCACAACGTAGATGAAATTAAAGCCAGCAGGCAACAACCCCACCAGTCCAGGTGTCCCACAGGGAAGGGGCTCAGTCTCTAGCTCCCTCCTCTATTTGCTTTGCTGCAGAACCCAGCACTTCAGGATGTGTCTTCCAGGAAGCATCCTGTGTGGGACAGACCCCCACCCCTCCACTCAGTCCGAAGCAAAGCGTCTAAGCTCAGAGGGTCCACACGGAGGCTTCTCAAAAGCTGCAGTTCTGGCCCTCAAAAGCCTCCTCTCTCCTCCGCTGACTCCCACCTCACATCAAGCCTAGGTAGCAGTAAATTTATCCCCCAGGATTCACTGCTCACAAACCGTTTTCCCAGCAGGGGCTTTCTGCTCCCTTCCTTTTCTAACAACTGTGCTTTCGTCTCTGTTCCTCGACGAAGACTCTCGACTAGCTCCCTTATCGGAGTAAATCCTGTGCAAATGACCAAGTGGCTCTGTGTCCTCTGTTGTCCGCCTGCATCAGCGCAAACAGGCAAGGAGCGAGAGGCTGCAACAGGACAACCACACGTGACCTTCCTCCAAGCCTCCGTGCGCCTGCTTACGTCTGCATGCAAAGGTTCTAAGGATCACAGCAGTTCAGCTGGGTCAGTGAGGTGAAAGGATAAAGGCGGGGACAGGGGAAGATGCTCCTACCCGCTGCTCATGGTCTTTGACACACGGCACAGGCACCAACACGGCACAGGCACCAACACGGCACAGGCCCATGCACTGCTCCACCCATTCTGGGCTATTCCTCTACGAGACTCATCCAAAAAGGGAGGAGCAGCCAAGTGAGGGCTCTGCTGCGCCTCTGTGTGTATGTACAACATACACACATACGTACAATAAATTGGATAAGGAGTCCGCGTCGCTGCTCCACAGTAGGCTAGGATTCTTCCCCAGGGATTACACACAAGTTTCATGCGAAACCAGAGGCGGAAACAGCAAGCAGGAGTTAGCAGCTAAGCAAAGACGTATTTAGTCAGCTAAAGAAACCGTAGCAACAGCTCCCAGTCTTCCCCCCTAACGTATACAAGGAGAACAAACTCCAAAAACTGTGTTCAGAAAGTTAAGTAATTGACTTTTCCAGGTTAAGTCAACTCTACCTAGCAAGGAAGTCGGGCGCCCACTGCCCCGCCACTTCCCGACTCTAGTTCATGTCTAGAACACTGAGTCACAGCAGCTGGAAGAGGATTCTCTGAGGCCTCCTGCCCCCAGCTCTTACACGGACAGCCGGGACTCAAGAGCAGTTATCACAGCCGCTTAGCACCAGGGCCAGGAGTAAATCCCGCCCCCCCCACCCCCCATGTCCCACCAAGAATGTTTCTATCCCCGGTGGGGGTGTGAGTAAGCAGAGGAGCTCGTGCATCCAGAACTAATCCAGGCTTTCTAAGCAATACCTGGGAGGGGCTTAGCAGTTGGGCAGAGCCATCATGCTACTTCAACGGAGGGGAAGGTTCCTCAGCACCTTTGTGTCCCCAGGCCTCTGCCACGTGACATTCCCATATGTGTCTCAAGAACTGACCTGTCCCATGGCTAATGTGACAGTACCCACAGGAAACTTGAGGGGAATCATGGCCAGGCCCCTCTTCTTCCAGGAGTTCTCTGCGTTGAATCTTTCTACAGCCGTTTTCCTCAAAGAGTAGGAACTCTTGGCCATGCATTCTCTCCAGCACTCAGCCAGGGGCTTGGCACTCAGCTCTTGCTTGTAGTGGGTAATATCAATTTTCTTGTACATGTTTATAGCTCGAACCTACGAAAGGGAAGGAGGTTAAAAAGTGACAGGGAGCTCAGAAGTCATAGTCTTGTCTTGCTCCACTTCTGTCCGTCCCAGCAGGGCCAGCCTGGGTTCTGCCCGGCCATTGATAAAGACCTTCTCAAGGCACAGCATCCTCTTCATCCTCCACTCCGAACCCCGACTGACTGTGCTGAACTCATTTGCTTCTACACGGTTTCTGTGTTAGTTTGTAAAACGGAATCCTTAACCTCTATTCCCCTGCATCTCAATATGGTCCGGGTAGATTCTTCTCAGGTCCTGTACTCATAAGCATCTGTTGAAAGGTGCCCTGGCTCTGTAATCTGGGTTATGCACATGCTATGGCAAGATAGGACCACTTACTCCCAGAGCAAGCCAACAAGAATATCTGTTTAAACATAACCAAAGGCTGGAGAAAGGACAAACAGATTACTTTTTAAAATTCTTTGAGAGTTTCACGCATGCTTATAATGAATATTGGTCTCATTACCTACTTCTCTCCCCATCCTGACTCCCAACAAGCTGTGTGTGTGAACAATCATATGGAATTAGCATCTTTTGCAGGTTATTCCCGGAAGCACGGGCAACTGAACTGACTAGTGGTTACACCACTGAAGAAAGTGGCATGCCCTGCCGCCGGCAACCATTAGTCCCTCAAGGCAGGGTGGAGCCTCGTGAGCTCCTTCCTCTTTGCAGGATGCCGTGCTGACTGGCTCTGTCTGGGGTAGATCTTATGCAGGTAGATTCAAACCAGAAGATCCTGTCCCCAGATGTCTCACTCCGCGCACAGACTATTATTATCTTCCCAGAATTGGCAACTAAGACCCCCTCAGCTGAAAGCAAAAGACACCATGTGCCTTATATTCTTGGTTGAGAAACCTCTTATGGTTACGGCCAGCTTCCTCTACAAGCAGATAGAGGCCATTATAGACACCCACCCTCCCCAAACTACCCCTCTCGTAATTGCTCAGATCCCTATAAGAGACAAAGTGGAACTTAATGCAATTCAAGGGAAAACAGATTTTTAAGAGACTATTCTGGACAGGAAGTGATGTCTTTGTGTAACTGCCCTCTCCCTTCCGCTGCCACACATAACCAAGACAGAGGCTGTGATCAGGAAGCCAGGAAGGGAGGGACAAGGACCCCTTATAAGTTTAAGATGCATAGAGAAGATGATTTCTACCTAGATGGCTCCTAGCTCTGGTCCTAGAGTGTCCTGTTAAGGGGAAAATGCAGATGAGTAACGGCTTGGGCTCACCAAGGCCTCCTGGTGCAGGAGGCAAAGCGGCGTAGTTGCCAGATGGAGTACTGCATGAGGTCTGTCTGCATACAGTGCCAAAGAGAGGACGGGAAGCCGGTTAAAGTGTGTGTGCGTGTTCTCTCGGGTACTCGTTTTCATCCTTTTCCCTCCCCGCCCCAATGCAGAGGAGAAGGAGAGATGGGGGAGAGACAGCTTAGCAGGTCTCCCCTACCTAAACTCCACACTAGAACCTGGGGTGGAAGAGGTACCAGGGAGGGAATCGTCTTCACTAACAAAAAAAGCTGAAGCTGAGACTTAAAGAACTGACGGGTGAAATGACAAACCTTGTGACAACCGCCTGAGATGTTAGGGAAACGAGAAAAAGGCTTTGGCTGAGTTGGGTGGTGTTTACGCCACTGCCATGGTTTAGATATGGTTTCTCTCCCCAGGACTGGGATGTCTGCGGTAAGCTTGCAGCACAGTGTAACGTTAGGATGGTGAAAGCCTGAGGAGAGGCCAGGCGGGAAGTGTCAACCTCTCCAGAGAGTAGTAGGAATGAGACTGATTTACTTCCCACAAGACTGACTTCCTGGCAAACTTGGAAGCTGGAGAGATGGTTCCAGTGGTTAAGACCACTGATTGCTCTTCCAGAAGATCCAGGTTCAATTCTCAGCACCACATGGCAGCTCACAGCTGTCTATAACTCCAGTTCCAGAGGACCTGACACCCTCACACAGATATACATGCAGTTATAACACCAATGAGTGAGCTTGATAGCCAAACATTTCTCCAAACTCGTCTTGCCATGTGACCTTCTTGTGCAAGATTCCACAATGCCAGCTGCTGTTCAGCCCCCATCAGAACACAGTGGATGATAGATAACAGGACCACGGCCTTAGACACCTGAACTCTGACTGAAACAGACCTCTTCCAATACGTAGGTACATGTAATTTATATATATTAATACATTTAATTTGTGGTATATATATATAATACCTAGCTGCAGACACAATGATAATGTGATACATATGATGTATATATTAATACATGTGTTTTGTCTGCATCCCCTGAAAGTGGAGCTACAGTTTTGTGGGTGGTGGGAATTGAACCTGGGTCCTTTGGAGGGGCAGCCAGTGCTTCTAACTGCTGAGCCATCTCTCCAGTTCTCCCATTCATGCTCTTAAAAACAGTGTTTCCCAGACTTTTTTTTTTTTTTTTTTTTAGATAGAGCATGGGTAAGACAAGGACCATAAAACTTGGTTAGTGACTCTACTAACTAGTTGACTGGATAAACGTAAGCAGATAATTTACATTCTGGAATGCCTCTTTAATTCTTCAACCTGAATGGTCTCCAAAGTCTTCCCAGCATGTTTTATACATGAGACTAGAGTAGGGTTACCTGCTCAGGGGACAGGCCACATTGGACTGCCACTTCTGTGATACAGGCTTCGGTGATCAGTCCTGCCTGAGGAAAGCCAAACCCACGGAAAGCAGTGTTGGATGGAAGGTTGGTTCTGCAGGCCCAGCCCCGGCAGCGTAGGTTGGGAAACTTGTAAGCATTCTCCATCTTCAGAAGCCCAAACTCTAACACCTGAAGAAACCCAGAGTTGATGTGAGAAAACCTTGGCCTTCTGTGCATTTCCTAATCATGCAGATACCTCAGAATGAAATCAGTCTAGAAACAGTGTCCCCTCTTCATTTCTCAGGAAAAATGCTGAAAGACCTTACACCCCACTTAAATATATTTTTCTGTAAGATGATTTTAAGAAATTTTTAATTATTCTCAATTATTATCTTTAATTTTTAAAGCTTGGTCAAGTGCTCACATCTGGGCATGGGAAGCAGAGAGGAGACACAGGCACAGGCTTGGTCCCTGGGCCCTCCACTTGTAGTTTTCAGTGGTAACTCTTTCCTATTCTGTAGTGAGTCTTTTATTAAATGTTATACAAAGAGTGAATGTTTCCTGGGTTGAATCATTTTATGTAATACCCTTTGAAGAATGAACACTTCCTTTAAAACACTTACAAATAATGACTCATCCACAGAGCTCCCTCCATTGGAATAATGCTCCACATCCAGGGCCAAGATCCTGCCATCATTCATGAACCCAGCCTGGCGGAAGAGAACTGACGGTTGATACTGGTTCAAGATGTCAAGTCTATATAAAGTTTGCTTAGTCACACTTTGGAAAAGCTTTATGGGGTTAGATTTGACAGCTGTTTCTTGGATACAGAGCTGGATTAGTGATACTGGGAAAACTGTGTGAAAAGTCAGTGTTAATGAGAAGCTTGGCAGATCTAGAATTGCCCGTGAGACAAGTGTCTGGGCATCCCTAGGAGGAATGATCCTGATTGGGTTAACTGAATGGAAAGGCCAACCTTAACAGTGGGTGGCACCATTCCCTTGGCTTAGGTCCCAGACTGCATCAGAGGAGAAGAGAAGCTGAACACAGCTCTCACGGCAAGTGCTCTTTAGATCAACCAATATTACTAGATAAATATTCATCTCATTTCCTGTCCTCACACTACTCTCCATCAGTAAATATCATGCCATGGTAATGGTCACTGTTAACTATGGTCCAGTCTTTTGGATGAAAGCTCATTTAGGTGAAGGACATTTCTGTTTCAATGCTCTGCTTTCATTTCTCCCTCAACACTTACACAAGACCATCATTTTCCTTCCAGAATGCTCCCTTGCTTCCAGGTATTTTTCTTTTAGAAATCTCCAGGCTGTGTCCTCTGGCCTTGTTCATCATGTGGTACTAAGTTTTTCAACAAACACTGTTTTATTGTATACAATACAAGCTCTGGAGCTCATCTATTCTATACCTTACAACTGTGTGACTACAGATCCTGCCTGTATCCACCCTGCCGCCTGGGGGCCACCAGCTCCATCCTCACACTGTGCAGGCCATCCTGTCCACAGCAGCCATGTGGGTGCACACGACTATATCCCCAAGCACCCCCACGGCAAGGTGGCAAAGTCAGTCCCGAAGGTGTCTCCAGAGAAGCGAGGCCCACCACGTACAGGTTCGGCACCTGAGAGATCACCCGCGTCAGTATTCCTTTGTGTCTTGCCCACTGTGGAAGGCTCTGCAAAGGACTCAGTCCCCTGCACAGCGTTCCAACAGAACATTGGGGCATGACGGCAACATTCCGTGCATCTACGCGTGTAGAACGGCAGTCAATGCCTACAGGTGACCACTGTGTACTTGAACGAAGAGCATCATCTTAGTTTAATTTTATTTTGTTAATTTAAATGTGAATTTAAATAATGGCACACACCCAGTGGCCACAATATTAGGGAGTGCAGTCTAAAGGGATAAAGGTGCCATTAGGAAAACAAGTCCCTCAATGCCTGGGGCAGGTCCTTCCCTCCCCCAGTCCATGTAAACTACAGGGCTGTTACCTGCATGAGAAGTAACACAATAAAGGTTTAAGATCCTGAGTGACGTGGCTACTGGTTAAGCTGTCAGCCAACTTTACAATGTAAAATGGTCTCTTAAAAGGCAAAAGGATAATTATTTTCTACTATAGAAACTCTTCTAGGAATTTCTGGGTCACCGTTTTTCAAGATACGCTTGATATATTTAAAAAATGAGGAACCGTTTGCAAATAATTGCAATTTCATATAGCACTATTGTTACAGGAATTATTCTATTTTTACCTTTTGTGCTTAAAAAGAATGGTTATCAGATCTACTTTCTCGGACATACACAGTCAGGTTTTCCAATTATTCACTCTGTGATGCACAATTATAGCTAGTGTTTTCTCTCAGGCTGGCATCTCCAAGCAAAGCAGGAAATCTCATTGAACTGGGGAATAATTAAACTAGAGCACAAGAAGTAGAAAAGGAGACTACCGTTCATAATGGCTTTTTTTTTTTTATGTCAATTTGACACAAGCTAGAGTTATCTAAAAGAAGGGAACTTCAGATAAGAAATGTATGTAAAAGATTGGGCTGTACGCAAGCCTGTAGGGCATTTTCTTCATTAGTGAGTGATGGGGGAGGGCCCAGCCCATCGTGGGTGAGGCCATCCTGGGCTGGTGCTATGTAAAAGGAGGCTGAGCAAGCCATAAGAGCAAAGCATCCCTCCATGACCTCTGCCCCAGCCTCTGCCCCAGCCTCTGCCCCAGCCTCTGCCCCAGCCTCTGCCCCAGGTTGCCCTGTTTGAGTGCTCTAATTGCTTTCACTGATGAACTATAATACGGAAATGTGGATGGAATAAATCCTTTCCTCCCTAAGTTGCTTTTGGTCGTGGTATTTCATCACAGCAATAGAAACACTGAGTGAGACACATTTGATGATGTGTTCACTGTTCCTCCCCCATCAGAGTAGCCAAATGCTGCTGCCATCTGCATCTACAGAGTGCTTTGTTTGCAACGTAAATCTCTCCGACTCGCTCCTCTGCTCACTTTATACTTTCCGAGGTAAGGATGGCGGCCTCCGGTTATTAACATGTCTTCTCCTCTTTCGAGAATGCAGCGGACTGCACGGCCGTGTCTGAAACAGAAAACAAAAATTAATGAAAGAGACAAATGAGCTAGCTGTTATTCTGCAGTAATATTAAGCCTTCTAGGTGTGCTGGCTCCAAAGGCAATTTCCTATGGTGAGGCTTTAAGATCCTCATTGAAAAACAGTAAGATAAATAAATGTAAGCCTAACCCCCAAAGCATCTATTAATTCAAGAGAGAGGAAAGAATGAGTACCAGGCATCAGGGAGAGAGAGAGAAGGAGACTGACTGCTCTTGGGAGATGAAGCGGGTTACATATCTGATCCATAAGCATATAGCTCAGACTATAAATGCTAAGGACAACCCCACCCATGCAAGAACTGTTTCTGTTGACTTTTCCAAGTATTTTAATGTTTTATGTATTTGTTTGCTTGTTGCTTATACCTATCTGTCTGTCTGTCTATCCTTCTAGGTTATTTGAGACAGAGTTTCTCTGTGTAGCCTTGGCTGTCCTGGAACTCACTGTGTAGACGAGGCTGGCCTCGCAAACTCACAGATCCTCCTGCATCCCAAATGCTGGGTTTCTGTGCCACCACTGCCCTGCCCACGTAGTATAATATTTTTACAACAGCTTTCATCATATTCTTCAGTAACTGGTACTTACTTTGGTTCTTACATAACTTGACAACAAAAGACAAAGAAGTTTAACGAGCTGGCAGCTTGTCTGCATGTTGGTTTGCAATGTATGGTCTTAAATAACCATAGTCTATATTCTTCCTCATTACATGTGGCCAGTATTAAGATTTCACGTTACTGTTAGTTTAACAGATTTCTCCCACTTACTTGCTAGCGGCGAACGCAGTGATGGCGGCCATGATGCTGGTCTTGCCTACCTTCCCTCCAAACGCCCCACCAACACGCCTTACATGACACATGACCTTGTTGGCTGAGAGCTTCAAGGTCGAGGCAATCACATCCTGTTGACAATAACAGTTTTCATTGATCTGGCCCATCTTCAGCAAGACTAATGGCCATCACTGTCACGCCCACAACTGTAACCGGAAGCCTGTCCCGAGTGTCACAACCATTACACATTTTGTTTCCCCACTCTTGAACATGATACGCAAGCCATGCGGTTCATATGGCTATGATAAATGATAGAAAGGAAAAATGTCCAGTAGCCCCACCATCACCCACAACCATTCTCATGGATATCTGGCTAGATCGACATTGCCAAAAACCACTGTTAATATTAACTAGTTTTTCCCCACAGAGGTGAGATAGTTCTGTGCCTGCTAGAACCACAGCCAGAGTGTCCTTTCCACACCAATCCCCCGAGGGATGCTTCCTGAAGCCGTAAGAAGTCTCGGGGCTAAGCTTCTCTATTGGCTTTTCACACCCTCACTGGGTTACTGGGAGTGTTTGGTCTTCCCAGGATATGGGCTCCTGTTTGGGTCATCCTGACTCAAAAACTGGTTTTTATTGAGGGAGAGCACAGATAAATGGCTGTCACAGAGGGGGTGGGGCAAAACATCTGTGGGACATCCATTATCTGGTCTCTCTCAGTGCTCCCTCTACCCCCGTGTTGCTGTTCGCATCCTCACACTCCTCCTCCTCCCCTCAGGCTCCTCGGTACCCACCACATCCAGACCCCTTCGCTTGGCTTCCTGACCTTTAACCTTGATGCTTAGACCAGTTAGGACACCATCTCCTCTCTTGCATGTGAGTTGTCTGAGACATGGATACAGGCAACAAGTGTTTTCAGAAGAGACAGATGGGTGAATGAATAAGGGGTGTTTGTGCTGTGAAACTGCCAGGGATAGCCTCTCTTCTGACAAACCTCACTCTCACTACGAAGGCAAATTAAGTCAGCTGCTATTGCTTCCTCATCCTCCTCTTCCTCTTCTCTCCTTTTCCTCTTCTTCTTTATAAAATTTCCTGCGTGGTTCTGACCCTCACATTCTCTCCTTTCTCTTAATTCCTCCACTCATGTTATTTTTGACTTAGCTGACTGAGTGCCTTGCCATGTCTTTTCTAGTACTATTTCCTAAGTGCTTCTTGTAAATGAGGCTCTATCAGCTTGAGAGGACAGGCCTTGCTCATTTTACCTTTGTTTCTCAACTGCCAAGAGGACAACAAAAGATGCCTGCTGGCTGCATAATTGACTTTAGAGCTGTGGGTGCACAGACTTCTCTTTGATAAAAACTATCTTCTAAGTTAGGCAACTATAAGGTTATTATTATCCAGCTGAATATGGCTCTTAGTCCTTAATATGTTGTTTTGTCTATAATTATTCTTCGTACATTTTGCTGTCAGAAACCATTTAGCCACGTCCCCTCCACAATGACCACGTTACCTGTATATATTTTGGAAACTGTGTGGACACGTAGATGTCAATTTCTCCATCCTCTCCTTTGGGAACAACAAGCATGCTTTGGGTTTCCATATAAAAATGTTCCTGGCCTCCTATGTATATTTCCCCTGTAACAGGAAAACGCCTGGAAATTAAAAGCTGGCAGAAAGAATGGGCTGTCTCTCCCACCCACTCTCGTTATCTCATTGTGCAGAAACTCCACAGTCTGAGCCATACAGGGAAGGGTGGCTAAGACCCTTTTTTCAGGTAAAAGCAGAGCTGTAGAAGGGACTCTTGTCCCTGTCAATGTGTGCAGCCAGAGCCCTAAGAAAAGACATCTACGTATCTAGAGTCAAAATTCTGTGACAAGGAGACTTTCAGTTCCAAGATGAGATGGAACACTGTGTTCCTCCCCATTCCATCTAGTTACCTGGACCTTAAATATAAACAGATCCAAGAAGTCGGACAGTTAATTGTGCAAAATAGAGTCACTTGTGTCATAACCAACAAAAATGGCTTTAAGGGGCCGTAAGGGAAACCACTGACTGTGTCTTCCTGTTCCAAACTGTCCCCAAGCCCAGTCAAAAATGATGAGGGCCTCAGTGTAACCTCCAGATTATGTGTCTTACCTACTAAATGTTGAAACATGTCAGTCAGAATGTGCCTGGGTTCTGCCAGCAATGCTGTTAACAGCACTGGGCTTTCTTTTTGCTTAATTCAATTTACATCTCGGTCACAGGCCCCTTCCTTCTCTCCTCCCAGTCTCCCCTCCTTCCCACATCCTCCCCTCCCTTATTCCTCAGAATAGGGGAGCCCCGCTACCCAGACACCCGGCTCCTCTATTCACATGAGGACTGAGTTCCTCTTCCTCCCCTGTGGCCTGGTGGAGCAGTGCCATCAGGGGGAAGTGATCAAAAAGCAGGCAATGTAGTCTGTGTCAGAGATATCCCCCACTCCCCTAACTAGTGGACCAACATGAAGCCCAAGATGCCCATCTGCTGCTTACAAGTAGAGGACCTAGGTCCAGACCTTGCATTGTCCTTGGTTGGTGCTTCACACTCCCTCTGGGCCCTGGCTGACTGGCTCCGATGGTCTTCTAACACTAGGTTTCCTGAAGCTAGAACTTGGATAATCTTTTCTTTACCAATAAACCCTAACCTTTTCTCTTTGTTCTCTAGATAATAGGAGAGCCCTTCTCTATATGGAACCCCGTATTGCATTTCTATTTCTTGTATATTATTCCCACATAAATTCATTCCTTATTTTCTCTCCCTCTTCCTCTCTTTCTTTTTTTTCTTTAAGAACTGACAGAAATCCCCAAAGGCAGAGAGGGAAAGGAGGATAGGTAGGGACTTCAGGATACACGCAAACGAAGCTCAGTAGTGGCTGGTTTTTAAGTTTCTGCATCACGTGCCTCATCAAGCACCTTAAGCGCACCAGTCTTCGGTCTAGAGAAGCCTGGAATCTCAAAATACCCACAGGCAAAGCAAAAACCTCACTCTCATTACCAAGGTGAATTAAGGCTTTTTGGGGGGTAGGGGTAAGGTTTCCTGAATGATTCTGACCCTCACATACTCTCCTTTCTCTTAATTTCTCCATTCATATTATTTTTTCTACTTTGCTAATTTAGAGTCTTGCCATGTCTTTTCCAATACTGTTTTATAACTGTTTCTTGTAAATGAGGTTCTATCAGCTTGAGAGGAGGCCTTTCTCATTTTCCCTTTGTTTCTCAACAGCCAGGAGGACATTGAAAGACGGCTGCTTGGTTGATTTTGAAGCTATGTGATAAAACAAACAGCCTCATGAAAGCCAGAGGATCAGAAGACTAGAAGCCTTGGAAAACAGAATCCTTATAGACAGGAAGCAGTTGACGCCAAGCAGATACCACAGAAGGGCCTGTAGCCCCACCCCTACCACAGAGGCGACTCCCAGCTACGCCAGGCTGTCATGAGTACTCCCAAACTCTGTGCTGGGCCATGTCAGTGATCCCAGTGAGAAATCTGTACCTTTTCCTTCATGTGTCAGTAACAAAGCATTGTTCCTTCTCCTTCCTTCAAACCTGCACTGGGTCAGTTCTAGTATAGAAGATGTTACTAAGAGTCACACTCTTAAAAGATTGTATTCAAATATCTCAGAGTCTATAAAAGGACACTCATAGGCTCGAGAACCAGGAAAATCTCAGCTTCAATGAAAATAAACAAACAAAAAAAAACAAAAAACGCCAACACCAAAATGACACAAATGTTTTGAATACCTGACATGTGAAAGCAGCTACCATAAAAACATTTCATTAAGAAATAACTAAAATGTGCAATCTTAACAAGAGAAAGATATAAAAGTACAAAAAGGAAATTCTGCAGCAAAGAAATACAACAACCAAAATACAAAAAGCTCAATGTAAGGGCACAATAATGGAAACAAGAACAGAGATGATTAATGAACAATAACAAGAACAAAAACAAAAACAGAAATTGATCCAGGCGTGGTGATGGTACACTCCTTTAATCCCAGCACTCAGGAGGCAGAAGTAGGCAGGTCTCTGAATTCTAGGCCAGCCTGGTATACAGGAGGAGTTCCAGGACAGAGAAACCCTGTCTCAAGAAACCAAATAATAACAACAACAACAACAACATGCAATCTGAAAAATGTAAAGAATAAACTAGGTAAAAATAAAGTCTCATAAACCACGTGACCAAGAAAATGGGACCTGACATTTGTGTCACTGAAATCAAGTATGTGAAAAGTAACGGCTGAATACTTCCCAAACTTGGCAGATGATATAAACCTACAGATGTAAGACCCCAAACTGGATAAATCCAAAGAAATCCTTGGCACGACACAGCAACGGCTGAATTTCAGAAAGTTGAAGACAAAACTAAATCCTGTCCTGAAAGCAGCCAGAGGAAAGGTCAGCGCCTGCTTTGCAAGAAAAAAGCGCATCTAAGAGTACTCTTATGCTCCCCAGTAACCATGGTGACCAGAGGATGCGGCACCAAACCTGTCCAGTGTGGTCAACTCAGAATCCTGTATTTGGGGAAAATATCCTTCAACAACGAGAAGGAAATCTCAGCAACAGGACAGGCTGGGAGGGAGACATGCTGAGAATAGGGTACTGCTTTCCCGAAGCACCATCCACTGATGGTTTCTGGAAAGGAAGGGAAGGGAAGGGACGCTCCAAACCAGGCATACCCAGAAATCTTCTCTGCTGCTCAGTTTTCACCAAGTCTTACCTTCAAGAATTTGATCAACTTTCTGAAATGCTTCATCGACATTCCCACACTCCAATTTCCGTTCTGAATGGAAGGACTTGTGTTGTATAGCTTCCTGGAAAGAGAATAGAAAAGTGAGGCAGCCTCCATCAGAAAGCCTGCCTCTGGGAGTCCCAGGTCCTGCTGGAAATTATTCCATCTGGGTAGCAGCATTCTTCTTGTAGGTTCTAGGCTCTCTCTCTCTCTCTCTGGGGCTGGGAAGCTAAGCTGAAAGCCAAGCTTCAGGGATTCTCCAAGGAGCAAATGCAAATGTACCCAGTGAGCCCAAGGACTCAGAAAATACCCAAGAGACCCAGAATGGAACTATTGTTTTCCCGGGCTGACAATTCTCTGGGATTAATAATCACTTTTATGTGGCCAAGGCCACTTAGCTGATTTGGACCTAGACCGAGTTATCTATCCATGGTCGTTTGACTGTAAGCTTCTGAGGGCATCATGTGGCAGGCGCACAGCACATACAGCTTCCTGTGAAATGGACAAGGAAAGGGCTCCATGGCACAAATGTCATATAAATGCTAGCTAAATCCAGTGGGTCACAGGCTCTGCCTGCTAGACTCAACACTCCTTCCTTCAGGGCCATGAGCATTTCTTTTGCATAGTGCAGTGGAACTTCGGGGCTGCCTGCCCTGGATTCACGTATGGTCCAGTTGATAAATACTTCAGTAGACCCAGCCCAGGCTGCAGCTACCATCACAAGTGCTGGGTCCTTTACCTAGCTCTGGGACTCTATATTGCTGCAGTCAGGGTGACTGACATGTCATCTCCTACCAGCATTATCTATCAAAGGTTACTGGCCATCTGTGAAATGCCAGGCTGCCGGCAGGTGGGGATGCTCCCAATTCCGGATCCTTTGGCCACCAGAAACTGTACAGTCCCCTCCTCACCACACACCTTAAAGACTCTCTGCTGTGACCGTGCCATTTCCTCTACGGCACAGCAGGGCTATGATCTTTGGTGGAATGTTCGCTCTGTGCCCCTGGGAAACCCCATTAGTTTCCGGTGGGGCTAATAGTTGTCTGAGCTCACAGGATTTCTGTGAGCACTGAGTGAAGCAGTATGAATCCATCTTAGCACCAAGCCAACCCCACATGCAGAGCACTGTTCCCACACCGGCCACTGATCGCAGTTCAATTGCTGACGATGGTTACGGAGAGAGTCTGAGAAGTGCACCTTCTCTTTTTCCAGTCTTGTCCCAAGAGTTTTGGTAGAGTTCCTCCATAGAGAGTTCTAAAAATCATAAGCTGGAAAAGCCTTGATTTACTGACACACATTCTTTGTTTTGCTGAGAACATTCTTCATACTGAAATCAACTCATATGCTTTTTTTTTTTTAATTGATCAAAAGTTCAGATGTGGCAGGGTCTTTTTGTTTGTTTATTTTGTTTTGTTTTTACAGTGACTTTTCTACTCTATTTTAAAAAGTTACTCTTTTTCAATCTCATTTGTTGATGGTTCTTTGGGTAGCTCTGAGTCAATTTCTTCAATGTTCCTTGGCAGGAAAAGTGGTAATAGGGCTACAATGTGCTGAGAGTTGGGCGGAGATCCCTGCCATGAACTATCTGCTGGGTGACCTTGGAGAGTTTGACCTCTGAACAAAATGAAAGGTGGCTCTCTTACGAAATGCCGATGTTTGACGTTTTCTGATAATCAATCGGGATCTGTTGGCTGAGGCTGAGACTCAAGGGGAAAGTACAACTTTTATTTGGCTGTGAAGCAAAAAGGCACTGGTAAAGATAACAAACAAAAATTCTGATGACATTACTCAAATAATTTCTTTGAAAAAGTAATTGTAAAATTACAATTACAACTGTAAAATTTTCAGGGAAAGAATATACAAAGTAAGCAAGAACAGCATGGAACAAATGCATGAAAGAACTCAAAAAGGGAAAATGAGGTTTGGATTTGAAACTGACTAGAAAAAAAAATAACTTCTTTATTTTTGTGCTCTTGACATGATTTTATTTTTATTTGAAAATACTAAGGGAAATTTCCAAAGCCAAGGGCTGTGTTCCTAAGAATTATGCACGGCAGGAAACACACCCAGAGCCAAGTTCTCTTGGAGACACTGATCTTGGCCAACAGTTTCCTCATTTTGGATAAGATGACCCATACAATGTATCTGTGGCATAGAAAGGCCTCTGCTGTCAAGGAGGGAGCCCAGGAGATCTGCTTCTGGCCCTCTCTCACATTCCGAGGGACACTCGTCAGAGCATGTGTGCCATGTACAGCCTGGAAGCCCTGCTTGTTTAGTTAACATTTGTGGAAAGAGTATAGTTCAGTAACTGAGGGGATGCAAGAGGTGAACATTATCATTTCATGGGGTGAGTCTTACAACCTCTGTAACATTTCAACTTCTGTATGAAAAATAGAATAGAAATGCAAGGCTCCAGTTTGTTTGTTTTAGTTGCCAAAATTCTGTAGACATCATGTGATCCATGTCTCGTGGACATTTAAGACTGGCATGAAAGAATATTAAAGTAGTGTCTATGGCATTTGCTTCATGGAAAACCTTATCAATACCCACTATGTACCTGACAAAGCAAGAGAGACTACCGATAAGTCAGAGCTCTAGGACAGGCTGTGCTGTCCCAGCCACCTGCCCAGCATTCTCACCTTTCCCTTTCCATGCTAGTATCTTTATTGAGGTCTCTATACCCTACATAGCCCATGTGCTTCCAAGAAATCTGCCCCGGGGGGCCCCATCTCCACTGTGGCAACAGCTCTTCTGTCCATCTGGTCAGTCATTAATCCAGAGATAGACATGGGACCAAAGTGGCCAAATGAGTCTGGATCTCAGAAACATGTGTTTGGAGTGTACCAGTCATCACAGACATGAGCGGAGAAGCCGGGCTTCCTGGCTGCCCTCTGTGAGAGCATGGGAGAAAGCTGTGCCCTGAGCACCAGAGAGGATACACAAAGAGCCAGGTTTCTGAGGAAACTGCTAACACTCACATTTGAGCCACTCCCTTACCTATGCTCTGGAAGCCTCCTGCGCCAGATTTCCCCATCCCTAGGCCAAAGCACGGAGCAGACATACCACTCACACCTGCTCTCTGGCCCCTGGACTGCCATCAGCTTGAGCTCATACCTCGATAGTTAGAATGAGTGGCTCCAAGTCTTGGTAGACAATCTTCACCTGCTTCGCTGCTTGTTTTGCCTGTGTCTCAGACTCTGCAATCACTGCACAGACAAGATGGCCGATGCAATGTACCTGGGGCACAGAAAGGAGGGTGCACAACAAATCAACTCCTGTCGCTTAATGTGGTCCTCTTTCCCATTCTGGGAGGGACACAACTCTGTTTGTGTGGAGTAGACCTCAGAGGACAAGCACCACGTACAGCCGGGTATTCTTGCTCATCTAGTTAACATTCAAAGGCCTTCATTCACACTGCCGCTGCCAGTGTACACAGCCCTGCCACGGGTGCGCTTCAACCTTGACTTCAGACTTGGGAGGGTCAAGTATTCTGCCAGGGAGAGCCAGAGATAGGGACTGCTGGACATTATGAAGTTCTTTTGGGTAGACAGTGGATTGAGATAGGCAGACAATCTGAATCGGGTCTTTGTTGCAGTAGCCTGAGGTCCAGAAGCCGAAGTTAACTTTAGGTTGTTAACTTTTGAAACTTCAGGCTGGCCTATGTTAGGAGAGTTCTCTTGGCTTCACTGTCCTATGGGAAGCAGTACATGAAATACGTACATAAATTAAGCAGGAACTCTCACTTCAGGAATTACGGTGGGTAGGGTTCTATCTACAACATGTGAATGAACTTAGCATGAAGAGAAGGGGGTGGGTCCCTTAGGTCTTCTCTGGAGTGGACACTGTTGTAAGGGCGGGGCCCACACACATCTTTGCTGCGCTCATCTTAAAACACCACGGGATAGGGTGATATGACTCAGGCTTCCGAGGGGGAGAGAGAACTTTCAGATCAAGAGACAGTAAATGACTTCATACTGGAGAGACTAACTGAACCCAAAACTTGAACTCTTGGACACACTGGGACTAGAATAATGGCTAGAGATGCTTGGAGGAGAGGGGGTTGGTTACAGATCAAATTTATAATTCTCTGCTCATTTATTCCTTCACACTTCTTGGCAGCATAATGCTTCAACTTAATAGTGTAAGATATCAAACAAGATTTCATGTATCCCAGGCTAGCCTTAGGCTCAATATGTACCTGAGGATAGCCCTGAAGTTCTGATCCTTTTGCTTCTGCCTCCCAAATGCTGAATTTACAAGGCATACACAGCCATTTCCAGTTTATGTGGTTCAGGGGATGGGCCCTGGGGCTTCCTGCACACAGGGCAAAGCACTCCAACAGCTGACTCACACCCCTAGCCAACGAAAGCAGCTTACATAACCGATCAACTTGGCTCCAATGGGAAATGAATAAACCCGAGTTCCTATCTATTGAACCAGAGTTCTGAATATTTGCGGTTCATAGTTGGCTCTCAAAGAACACTGGACTCCTTATGCTATGACGATTTAGACACTACCTCTAATCGAAATGCGAGGTACCATTAGCTGGGAAAGTTGTTCAAACAGACAGCAGCAAGGCAGTACCTCATCTGTGGCCAGAAATGTCTCGGTGGCAAAGGTGTTTACTCCCTGGAGGTGATCCGCGGTAATGACGTCCACCACGCCTGGCAGGCTGAGAGCTTCTGATAGATCGATGGACCTGCAAGAACATCATCAGGCAGCCCCTCAGAACAGACAGACACACGGCCCAAGGACACCGAGCACTCAGCAGTTGGAAAATAAGAATTGCCAGAGGATTCATCGCTTTGACAGTTCTCTGCCAGGCAGTGGGAGAACTTGGGGCGCTGTAGAGCTAAATAATTTGTGAGGAATCCCACATTTCAATCCCACTTCCCCTCTAGCCTAGGTGTCAGCAAGCCTCTATTTACCCTACTGTTAATTAACAGGGGAGGATCAGACAGCAAGGGGACTCTTCCTACCCGTGGCGTGAGGACACTTACACAATCCTAGCGTGCGCTCTTGAACTTGTTACAAAGGTCAGGAAAAGTTCCTGGTCTACTGCAGGCATGTCATCACAGTAGATGGCTTCACCGGTGGCATGCTTAATACCAGAGAGGTGCATGATGGGACGCCCAATTGGGTCTTGAGGAAGCTGCACTGGGTCTACATTCTGTGTAACAAAGAACCGACATATGACATATTTCTTCAGAGGTCATGGGAATAATCACAGAATGTGTGTCTCCCGCGAGAAGGTGGCTATGCAGATTTGTGATTAAGACAGAATACTTCTGAGTGTGAGAACAGTCACAATTGTTCGCTACTCCAAACAGCTCATCAGAACACTTTGGCAGCCAAATTGGAATGTATAAATATGACACATTTTTCTTAGTTTTTGGAATGTAAACGCCAGATATCTCTAATGGAAACTCCATCTGCCTAAGCACATAGATTTCAATCTCTCTTTAATATGGAACCGTATTTACACTCAAGGCTCAGGCGTGAGCGGGAATCAGAAGTCTCCTCACCACCCACAAGCTCCATGAATCCAACCCACAGCTCCCCCCTCCATCTTTAGAGAGCTGTGGTGGCAATCAAAGGAAAGATGAACGATAAACATCTATCAGGTATGTTTTCTAGAGCGTTGCAGAGGGTAGAAATTCTCTCTGAAAAATCTCCCCCAAAGGACTGAAAGATCGTATCACACCAGGCTCTTGCCTTGCACAGTATTTGAGTGAAAAATGATCCTTATCTCGTTTTTGTTTTTATAAAATACTCACAGAGGTTTTCTGTTTCCATCCTGAAAAAGCAAATTTCTAGGTAACTTATAGGCCTGGACACTGAGTGAACATGTTCGCGGCGCTCTCTAAGGCCCCTGGAGTTTTCTATTATTAATGCTAACAGCTTTTACTGTAAATAATGGAACATCTCACAAATGCAAAGAAAATCTTTTAAACCTTTACTCTGCTAGGCCTGCCAAAAAACTGCGGAAATTCTCAAGCCTGGGATAGCTGAATGTGAAAACTGATTTATCAAAGTATCAAACTGCCGCAAAGGACTGTGGGTGAGCGCACTTGGCTACCTCCTTCTGCTTGTTACATGGCTAAAGATGCAGTGGAGAGAGACGTATACCGCTCAATCAGGTGATCTCCTGAAGCCACATGGGACAGTCTGGATGCAGAATGTCTCCCGAAGGCTTGGTTCTCAGTGGGGCGAGAGGTTGTAAGCCACGGGAGGAGTGAGTTAAGTCCCTATCTGCTGCTGGGCATGGCTGGCAAACCCCACCCTCTACCCTGCACTCTCCAGGACAAGGGCATCCCCTCCTCCTCACCATATAATCTGGACACTTTTGTGCTCTTGCTTCTTTTTTTTCTCTCTCTCCCTCTCTACCCCTCCCTAAGATTGCTATTTTTAATTAAAGAAAAAGGGAGGGATGCTAGGCTAGGTTGCCTAGCAACCTCTGATGTCATCACCTGCCAGGGGCAAGCCAGGCAAGCTCCAGATATAAAGGAGCTTCCCCTTTCACTGTTCCCCTCTCTGACTTTCTCTCCTGGGACCTCCCCATCTATCGTCCCCCTTTTCTCTTCTCCTATGCTCTCTCTCTCTGTCTCTTTCCCACTCCACCCTTAAATAAAGCTCTCTGTATCAGACCTGTTGTGTGGCATATAATTTATATATTATTACAGAGTGTAGTACCTGTCTCTTTCTTACTTCCTAGTGTGAGGTTCACAGTTTGCTGAGCCACGCCTTCCACACCCTGCCATCTATCCCTCACTGCAGGAGCTTAAAAGCAAGGGTCAACCTCCTCATCACGGACTGTGATGTCAAACAACCCTTCTCTCTGTCAGTTGGTGATCTCATTGTTTGTGAGGATGATGAAAGTGACATTTCAAAACAAGTAAGTGAGTTGGGGAAAGTGTTGGTTGTGAAAGCTGAAGTTACTCTGGGAACCTGGATGCTCCTCTGTGCGAGCGTGCATGCGTGTGTACAGCACGCCTGAGAATGTGGGTGCATGGGTGTGTGTGTGCCTGGGTGAGTGCGTGGGTGTGAAACAAACCAGAAACCACGAGGGAAATAAAAACAGAAGTCATCTATATGGGAGACACACTGCACCCCAAACACTGTCTTGAAAAATCAACACGACAAATCCATTTCAAGATCAACCACTGACAAGATTTTCAGTTTTCTTTGGACACTTTGAATTTCCATTACTTGGCTTTAGTTCCTCCCTGAAACGAAATCCATTTCCAAGGCAGTGTTAGGGCCCGAGAAAGTCACAAACTGTGAATTCGGTATTTCACAGAGCACTGGGGAATAAGGCAGCTGTTTTCCACTTTCAAAATGTTCGCTTCCAAAGCAGTTTGCCATATTTAAATTTTTTGAACATATTGAACTCAAAACCTCAAGGGACCCACAGCAAACTTAGTGCTCACGGTGACATGATGTAAATCTGCCAACAGATCTGGTGCACTGCTGTTTTAAAAATCCCTTTCCGTTCCTGACTCAACAAAACGCTCCGTCCAGTTTCAAGAAAACACACATTCAACCTTATCCTGTTTACCAACAGAATGGCTCCATGTTATATCTCTACAATGTGATGCCAAAAACTTCCATTTGAAAGCTACAGGGAGCTCTAGACTCTCTAGCAGCCGGACTTCATCAGAAGATCTAGAAAACAGCTCCTAGTATTCATGTTTGATTTCACAATAAACCATGTGGACAGGAAGAACTTGGAAAGGAAAACATCCCAATATGGAAACAAAACAGAGAAGCAGCTGCTGTGATATTGGCGCTGCTGTGCTTCCTTGGCCTCAGGGTGTGGCCTTGGTCCTTTGAAATGAACCAAAACACAAGGCCCAACTCAGAACTTTCCTTTGGTTGTGCTTCAAAAGCCACAAAGCCAGGGTAGAAAGAATGCAGCTTGATTATGTCCTTGTCCTAAAGCCATAGTGAAAAAAACAAAAACAAAAAAGGGGGGGCGTATTTCTACAACATTTTCCAGGTTGCTTTTAAGTCATGATTTCTAATTGGTTCTGATTTCTTTTTCTTTTTTTGAGGTACTGAGGATTACATTCGGGGCCTTGTCCAAGCTGTACCACTGAACCACACTCTCAACCTGGTTTTGAAGGCTTAGTAAACCTTGACGAAGGCAATGTGAAGCCCTGTCTTTGAATTTAAATATTTAAATGCACACACACATACACAAACCTGGTGGGTTAATGTCCTCCAGTGATGTTTTGAATGAAGATCTTCTAAAGCACTCTCATACCTGTCTGCCAGGCTAGGATAGTGAGCTGGGTCCTGCAAAGAACAGTAGATATTTTAAAATCTACCGGAATGTTCTAGGAAGATGCTGGTACAATTCTCAGCAGGCATCATTACTCTGAAGTCAGGCATTTACCCCTCCAGAACCCTGGAAATCTAAATAACTCCCTAACCCCAGGACATGAATCCTGAAAGGTTCGTATCTTCCTACAGGATATGATAAACCACATGAAGTTAGATGACAGTCACTGACTGTCACCATCTCTATTTCTTAAGATTATGTTCCAGTCACTAGCAATTTTCCCATTTTCCAATCACTACGTTCTCGACCTTGTCTAGACAGACAGTCAGACTTGCTTTCCTAAGTGGCTTGCAGACATATATACCAACAGAACAGAAGTCAAATAAAACAGAGAAGACAAAGCATAAAGCAGGAAGAGTCAGAGCAGTACCCATTGCTGCAACTATTCCTAAAGCTGCTTGGTATCTGGCCAGGCTCATACAGAGGCGGCACACCCACCATCAGCCACAGGAGGGTGCCTTCTGAGAGCAGAGGAAAAGGAGACGTTAAACCATATGCTTTATGATTATTTTATAACTTAAGAAATATTAATAGAAAATAAAGCTAACAACATCTATTGTTTTCAGAGAGAGGAAGCTAAATGGAGGGCAGAAATTTTAAATTACATCAACCGATTCACCAAGAAATTGTATCATTTGCTACTCATTAGAAGTGTCTGCAATTAGCTTTACTTTTTTTTTCTATTTATTTAACAGTGTCTACAATTAGCTTTTGGATACCTGGTAGAATTATGTCATATGTTTATGTATGATTTCAAGCTCCTCACCTCAAAAAGTTGGTTCTTATTTATTCCTATCTATACTGAGAAGACACCTTTAAATAGATCTCCACAGGAGAGGACTTCTTGACTTCTATTTATTTACATATTAATTATTTTTAATTCTCTGAGAGCTCCATATAATGCGTTTTGATCAAATCCACCTTCTCCCAATTCTTCCTTCCTATTTAAAGTTGCTGTGTTGATTTCTACTTAAGGCAAGGGGGTCATGGCTTCTAGCTTACTCAGGTTCACAGCAGCATAAGGCTTCCGAGGACAATAAGTCCACATTCCTTTGAACCAGAAAATGGTTTTCAGAGAACTTTTCATTGTTGTTTTCTCTAGACAACAGTCACGAAGAGGGAAAGTGGGCAAATGACTGCCCCTGCATAATCAGTCGTACTAAGTACTACCACTTCTACCCAGCCTTCCTCTGAAGCCCTAGGGACCAAGCCTTTTCCCTACAATGACTCACTTCACAGAACTGCAGTGGCTGCCATCATCTTACAAACGAGAGAAAGACAAGAAGACCAAGCATAAGAAGGTAAGCCTCAGTTGCTAGAAGAAAACGCATTAAACTCGCTACCAAGTTTTCTCAGCAGTATCCAGACAGAGGAGAAGTGGTAATGGCTGGGTGGTGTTAAGCTCATCTCTGGGCAGGTCTGTGGCCTCCTTGCAATTCCTCCTCAGACTCACAGCCATCCACAAGACAGGCCAGTGGACACCCACCAATAGGATGTGATTTCTAGTTTTTCATCTTTCGGATTCTCCAGTTCCTCAGCAGGGGCTGGCACGTCTGCTTTGGGGTACCACAGTTCACACAACCAGGTCCACTCACCATCCTCTTCAGACTCTGTGACACCTCCAGGTAGAACTTGAAGAGGAAGCTGATGATGAGGGCCCTCTTGAACTCCACCTTCCCACCGGGAGCTGAGCCTGGAAGAGTGACTTCATCCAAAACCAGCCTGCAGGCTGTATCCAGCATCTCTTCATTCCATGGCCTCAGAGAGGCAGAAAAAGAGACTCAGCCTGGCAGGACCCATTACCTCACAGGTTCAGATGACAGAGAGGGCAAGCGGCTGCAGCCTCTACAGGAACCTGGACAGTAGGCTCTATAGCCAGGCAACCCAAGGTCAGGTTGGTCTGCTACTCCGGGTCTCACCACATCCTCACCCGTCAGAAATCAGGAGTCGCCCACTGCCTCATCTACTCCTAGGACATTTCTGTATGTTAGGTCTCACTTTAGCTCTGTGTGTTTTACTTAAATATAACACTCTCAACTACTCTACAGGGTAGGTATGACGCTCTTCTTTGACAGAGAAGGAAGCTGAAGTTCCATGAGGTTAAATAGATCGACTGAGTTCAAGCAGTTAAAAGAGGCCAGTAACAAATTAACAGTCTGACTCACTGAAGCAGTGGTTCTCAACCTGTGGGTCATGACCCTTCTGGGTCATGAATGACCTTTTACAGGGGTCACCTAAGACCATGGGAAAATACAGATATCTGCATTATGATTCGTAACTATCAACTTACAGTTATGAGGTGGCAGCAGAAATAATTTTACGGTTGGGGGTCGCCACAACATGAAGAACTGTATTAAAGGGCCGCAGGATTAGGAAGGTTGAGGACCACTGCATTATAGGCTTAGAGCACATGGGCTGAATCAGTTACTTTATCTAGGATCTATTAATTTATCTAGTAAGTTCCCAAGGAAGAGTAGCTACTTAGTATCACCTATAGATAAAACAACTCAGGTAAGCAAAAGAGACAGCAACTAATTAGCACGTGGTATATTTTTCATCAGAATAAATTATTTCCCCCACAAAAAAAAATACAAATTTATACTACAGGGAATGGGCATCCCACACCCCTCCATCTCCCTCTCTCATACATATGCACACATGAACACACACAGCCACACACACACGCACACGCATACATGAACACAGACGCTCATGTGCTTACATATACTGTGTACACAGATTATCTGATGCTCATTCCGAATTTGCTTAAAGCAACACACGGAAATGATGGTGAAATCTTGTTGGACTTCCCAGTCACCAAGCTGTGAGATCCTAAGCATTTATTCTTCTCTTCACTGCAGCTTCCCACAGGGCAGGCTGCTCTGTTTCCCGGAAGCTGATGTCTTTCTTACCTTCCGATCAGTCTTTGGCAGGAGTTCATAGCGCTGACCGTGGTTGGACCGACGCCTCCATACAGAATGGATAACTCTTTAATGAGGTCACCCCCTTCTCTAAAAAGGACTCTCATTCCTGAATTGACAATCGCCAGGGCATTCTGCTGGCGCTGGGCCTGTCGAAAGGCTGACACAAACTCCCACTAGAGAAAAGAGGCACAAACGGAACTCCCCTGAGAGTCAATCACCACACCAGAAGGGGTGATCTGCTTTCAGCATATCTTCTGTTGTGTGCTCCCTAAATTCAGATGCTGGAGTTTTCAACCCCAGGGCGTTAGCACTTGGGACCAGGGTGTTCAAAGCTCTAGAGTGAAAGTGATATTACTAGTCACAGCCCTAATCAAAACTATCTGGTGTCGTTCTAAGAAAAGAAACATCGATATAGACATCCAAAAGACCACGAAAAGGCAGAAGACGGTCATCTATAGTCAAGGTCCAAGGCCTCAAAGGAAGCCACCAACCCTGCTGACGCTTGGATATCAGAGTTATAGTCCCAGACTTCCCAGAAAGTAAACCTCCATCATTTGAGCTACTGGTTAAGCAGTGGTTCAGATCGACAGCCCTCCTAAACCATGTCCTGTGAGAGAGGTTTGATTCACCCACTGCACAAATGAGGAGCCTTGGACTTGAGGTGATTCAGTAATTAGCTCGGGTCTTGAAATCAGAATCAGAATACAAAGTGTGTATTAAAAACCCGTTTAAAAGTAGCTTCAGAGAGTTTGGTGCAGACGAGAGAAGAAGTTCTCCTAGTTCTCGGAATGACAGAGGACTGCACAGCAGGGTCGCAGTGACAAGTCCCCTCTGTCACTTCCATCTCCTCTGCTAACACACTTGTCTCCTGAGCCCACTCAAGCTACAGACTGATGGGGGAACTGGGAAACGGGGAGGAAGAGCCATCCTCACCTTCCTGGAGTAGGGGATGCTCACTGAGACCAAGACTTCCTGGGGCTTTAGATCTGCGTCAGGACACCTGCGAAGGAACTGCTCACTGAGAGGGATCTGCCGTTCTCCATCTGTAGAAAAGAACGACACCTTCTCTGGCATCTTCAATCTCTTGAACAAACTTCCTAAGCTTGGGAGAAAATTCTGCTGGTTGTTGTGGGCGGCTGTGGTGTGTTCTTTCGCATATTCTTGTGTGTGTTCTCTGACAGCATCTTTCAATGTTTCTTCCTGCCTCGCCCTCTTCCCTCCTTTTGTCTTATCTATTTGTTTGCAGATAAAAACCACCCAGAGTTTCCTAAAGAACAGAGACCCCAGCCGTCCCCTTCCCAGTGGCACAGCTGGCTTAAGGCTTTGCTATGAGGAAGTACATGGTAATATCCCTTTTGTTATCCGACCAAGTCAATCCACAATCCTTTCACTTTTTTTTTCTATAACCAGGAGCCCTGTTATCTACAAAGGCGAATAAAAAAAATACCTTCAGTGAATTTGTGCATCACTGAATGCTATTTTATTTTGTCGTTCTCCCAACCCCCAGCATCTAAAGAATTTCAGTCCTTTGGTCAGGAACAGTTTAAAGCCATGGCAAAATATATCTTGGGAGTAAAACTGTAAAAAGCCTTTCGCGTTTGTATTCTCTCATCCAACCTTCTCACGCCAAGAGTTTTTACAAAGGCGTGTTACTTGAGGTGAAACCTTGAATTTAAATCTTCTTCCTTAAGATTATTTAGTAGTTTAGATGCTATAAGGAGTGGATGTTTCACAAAAGGAAAGCTAGCTCATGTTTTTGAATGAAACCTCCATGTATTTGCAGAGGACCAGCTGTAAGAACTTCCTAATAGGTACTAGACAGATCAGAGTAAGAAGAACCAAACTCAAAAATAATAGTCAGGTACATAAATACAGCACAAGGTCAAATGATTATTCAGTTGAAAAAGATCTGTGGGCATTCCACGAAGATAGGCTACGCACAAGCCCAAAGCATGGCACGGGAGTCGAACACCCTGGACCGTGGGGGAGTCTCCAGCGAAGGAGCTCTGTGGCTCTCAGAACTTACTGTTCTTGCCAAGGATCACCTCACATCTGGACACTAGCCAGCATAAGCCTGTCCAACGTAGGGTAAGAAAATACCCAGCAGATGTGCCTAACCTGCCGCCAGCAGGGTACATGACTCCCAGGATAGGTACAAATGCAGCCAAACACATTTGTAATGGCAGCAGCAGGTCTCAACGCCAAATAGTTTGGCTCCCTGATAGAGCAAGGTCTCAGGAAGGGACAGGTGGGGAGACTGATAGGTAGTTTTCAAATGGACAGACCAACTGTTCAGCCTCAAAAAGGCAAAGGAAAATATTAATGTTACAGTGGATAATCATTTTCCAAGCTGGACTTGCTGCCTCCCCAGAGGTGAGAGGAACAAATCAAGGTTAATAACTTCTCAAGCAGAAACTACTATTTACCTTTCGATAGTAAGTTGAGGGTACAGTTACCCACAGCCAGGAGGGGATTCAGATCTGAGTCCAGATGTCTGCTCACGATGTGGCCCCCTAAAGACTTTTAAAAATAGTTACTTTCACTTCTGTGACATAGTTACAAAGCATAAACACTAAGATAAGGATTCAGTGGTGCTAGAGAGAGCCATTCTCTCTGTGTTTTAAAGAACAGGAATCATCAGTGACAGCCACCACGAATGCCAGAGGTTACTTGTCTAAATACATACAGCCATGTTCCTGATCTGGGAGCCAGCCAGAGTTCTCAAGTGCTTCAGGAGAGCACGGTACGTCTGTGTCTTCTCTTCCGGAAGCTTCTGGACCACATCAGCCAGAACATGCTTCACCTGATCCAGGCTGAGGCCAGCCCCCAGGGTCAGCCCTGAAGTAGAGCTTTGTGTAAGTAATGCAACATGGCCACCAATGGCCTCAAAACATAAGACCAAAGCTTCAGTCCCAGGATCTCTATGTTGGATCCATGCTATTATGCCTGTCAGTAATGGTGGTGTTGATGGTGATGACTGTGGTGACAAATGACCATGGTGGAGATGCTGACAGTGATGGAGGTGCTTGTGGCGATGACAGTGATGTGTGGTAGGGTTAACGGTGGAGTTGGTGGTGGAACTCATGAAGGTCAGACTCCTTGAATACTGACTATCACACATTTTGCTGACAGCCTTAAAACATTCACCATGAGTTAAAACATAACCATGTGGTATTAGTAGGTTCACTTGATGGATGACAAAATATATTCTGTTCAGTCATCTTCTCGAGATCTTAAGAGATACTATATGTCACAGCCAAGAACTGGATTTCAGGAGCTTCATTCCCACCCCCCATGATGGTGACTGCTGCTCCTCACTGCCACTAAACCAATCTCCTTCAGGAAAGAGCTGGACTATAGCTGATGATCAGCACACAGCCCTTTCCTCTGTGTGCTCTGGACGGCGCTCACACTTCTCCGTCTTCTGTTCTGCACCCACAGACTCATCCTTGAACAGTTGGCAGGCTCCCTGACACTACAGATAGGAACATTTCTAACACAGTTTCTAGTAGAACTTCAGAGACGTCATGGACTCCCTCCAGATCCTCACCATTCGGCCTGAAGAGAACCGGCGAACTGTGACTAGAAAGGACTCTCGCCTGCCTGTCTGCCGGACTAAGCAGCTGACTTGGTTCCAAGGAAACAAAGACCTTAAGAACTCACCGTCACAGGCCTGGCTTATGACACCCAGCTCTTCGATTCTGTCAGGAGAAATGATGACGGGGTGGAAGACACCTTTAAACTTTACTTCAGGCCCTAAGGGATTGTGTGAGAGACACAAGATCAGAACAAAAGAACGCTAATGACCCTCTTAATTTTGAATTGCAATTAAACCAACGTCTTTGGATATAGGAAAGTTGTTTCCTTTCATTGGTCTGTTTATTGCAAACCACAAGCAGAGACGGTGGCTGATTAAACTTAGGGGCTCACTGGAACTGCTGTTAGCCCTAAAACTTGTGCAATACATATGGCACATTCAAATTTCGCTTGGGAGGAGATCCAGGAAGACCTACAGAGAGACGGGCAGCCACACTAGGCCCTCGTGGAAAAGGAGAAAACTCTGAAACTGCTGTTCGAGTAAACACATTACACCCACTGAGACACCACCCAGACAGGAAAGACAGAGCAGCTTCGGGATGAGAGCCAGGGTGATGCCAGGTAGAAAGCCAGGATACTGGCACCCCTGCTGCTGGCCTACTGTGGGGCCAGCAAGCCAGCCTCTGCTCCAGTGCGGCACAGGGGAGGCAGCCACCGGGCATCTCTTGAACAACACAATGCTGAGCTTTCTGGCTATTTTCCTGATATCAGTGCAAGATGTTCTCCTACAGGATGTCCCAGGGGTGTCACATACCCACAGAGGTGTTCCCCATAACAATGGGGGCCTGGGGATACTTGAACTTGGCTTCCAGGAGTTCCTTCAGGGTCACTGGGGAAATCCATGTCATTCTGTCACCACAGAACACTCTGGTCTTCGGTGGCTGCTTCTCAGCCATTAGCTGTTGAAAAATCAACAGGGATTTGAGAGATCGGGTGACAGAATTCCCACCTATTTTAGTGAAAGGAAACACATATCTTCTAACAACTAAATTTTGTGACCTAAAAGTAGACCCTTTCCTGGGAGTCAGAGTTCAAGGCTAAGGTCTGACGTAGTTTACCCCTGGAAACTGAAGCTGCCATTGGCTCTCTGCTATCTCTCAGCAGCTCATGCTGATGATGTCCACTAACACAGCAGCAGGCTCAACTTTGCCAAAGCGTCCTACAGAAAAATGAGCCTCAGCCTAGGCAGAAGGAGGGAACAAGCAGATGGCGAAACACACTGATGGCAGTCACGCCTTTTAACAGGCATCGCTGGCTGTGTTTCACAGCCCCAACTCCTCACAGGAGCTCTACCCTCACCACTCCCCACCCTCCTCCTCTGCTCCTCCTCGACCCCCACTTTTTGTACTTGGAAGTTCGGAAGCTAGGATGACATGCCTATCTGCCCGTAATTTTTTTTCTTTGTAATGTTTTATTAATTCCTTGAGAATGTTCTACATGGATTTCATGTACTGTTGCTGTATTAACTCCATTGGTCCCCTAATTCCTCCAAGATTCACCTCCCTCAACACACACATGCCCCCATCTTCATTTTCTCCTCTTCTTTCCAAAAACCTACTGAATACAGTGGGTGCTGCCCATGCACTCATGGGGTCACCCACTGGGTCTTGTTCAACCCTTGAAAAAAAAAAAAACTGACCCTCTCTCCCCCGGCTGCCTTTGACTAGCAATAATGTGTCAGCTAGCACTTGGGGCTCCTGAGCCGCTCAGCTCTCCATGCTGAATGTTGACTGGTTTGGTCCTGTGCAGGCAATGAGTTCCTGCGTGCAGGGATCCTGTCACATCCAGAAGACGCTCTTTCCACCCCCTTTACTCTATGGTCCCTGAGTCTTGGGGTGGGGGAGGGGTGGGGCAGAGGTCCCATTCATGCTGAGCACTCGACACTCAATTATTCCCTGCACTTGGACAAGCTGTGAACATCGGCACTGACCACTGTCCGGTGCACTGTCTCTGAGGCGGTCTGAGAGCTGCACCGTTAGCTTTTGAAAAGGCCCCTCCCGACATTTCGCCATGAGTTCCTCCACTCGAGCAATCACCTTCCTTACCATTAGCTCTGGAGGAAATATCAGCTCTTGGGTTGGGTCCAGTGGCAGAAATTCCTCTTCTGAAAACAGTTCTGGGCTTGTCTTTAAAAAGAGAAAATGAGGGTTGGAGAGATGGCTTGGTGGTTAAGAGCACTATCTGTTCTTCCAGAGGTCCTGAGTTCAATTCCCAGCAGCAACATGATGGCTCACAACCATCTATACTGGGATCTGATGACCTCCTCTGGCGTGCAGGCGTACATGCAGATAGAGCAGTCAAACATAAAATAAGTAAATATATCTCTTGAGAGAGAGAGAGAATGAGAGAAGTTATCACAGAGCTCTCTGCCATGATCCCTGTGTGGCACAGCCATATCCACGGGAAATGGTGAGAGTCATGAAGCCAGCACAGCTGCTTGACACGGTTACAGCAAAGCTGAGCCGATTGCTACAATCGCTATCCTTCTATCTGTAACCTTTGGGTTTTCATCTCTGCGTGTTGCATTACTGGAGACTTTCTGCATTATGATTCAGCTCATGTCTTTTCCTAGAAAAATTATGTCTGAGTCTTTTTAGCAAAGTCCTAAAATCACCTTTACCTGGCCACTATTTGGAAGTCTTTCTTATGCCTTGGAGATTCCTAAGCACAGATAAGCACATAGCTAGATGATCTTCTTGGGGTATCTGCCCCTGAGTTAACCAAAACAGCATAATTGGCACAGGGTAAACAGAGACAACTGACAAGCTCTAGCTGGCTAGGAGAATACAGAGGTTACAGATTCAAGGCCTCATTTTATTATAGGCTTAAAGCTCTCTGAAAATGTAGTTTTAAGAGAGGGCGTTGTCCTAGGGGAATAAAACTCTGTATGTAAGATAGACTGACTAAAATAAACTCTTCCTACCTTACAGTACCCATGATGACACATACAGTAAAAGAAGTTAGGTATTAGTATTTGCTCTTCCTAAATTCAGATATTTTCTGCTTGTCTGCAGTGTTCTCAAACTATAAACACTGCCAGCCTAAAAGCTGGCTGTCATATACTAAATGTGTTTGCTTTGGGGGAGGTAGCCTTTACAGTCTTTAAATGAGAGTTATAGGGATAGCAGCAACAGTACGAATGATAACCTGTTCTGTTTGTGTTTTCTAACTGTAACTAAACTTGTAACTCTGGACATGGAATAAAAAAATCCAATGCATACCCTGTACCACGTGGATAATTATTAGTCTGTCGCTGTTGTGTGAAACTTGTATAAAGAAGCACCCGGCTGCTGGAGGTCAGAGCTGCTAAATTCCCCTGACCGTGGCCTGACTCACTTTCTCTCCATGAGAAGGGCCCCTAGCATCTGGCTCCGAGCAGGGGTTCCCCGCCCCCCAACAGGGAGCTGTAGAGGTAAGTCTACCTGAGGTAAGAACAGGACGTCACCAAAGGGCTTCTAGAGCCCCGGGGTGAGAAATGGTGCTGGTAGAGAGAGTGAAGAGCCAAGACCTATGGAGAAGTCTACTTGTGAAAAGGACAGGACTGCACCAAAGGCTTCATGAACCCCTTGGGTAAGAAACAGACTAGGTAGAAAACGGTGAAAAGACAAGAACTATAAACAAGTCATGGGCCATAAGAGTCTAAAGAAAAAAGAATATACATATACATATATATATATATATATATATATATGTATAATATATATTATACAACATGCTTTAAAGAAAAGGGGAATCAAAGTCATGTCAAGGCATGGTGTGACATGGATGTGGGGAGACCCTTACTGCCTGTATGGATAGGACAATGGCCCCTGACCACAGAAGAGCTACAAGCAGCCACAGATCCAGTTAATGAACAATTTTAAGTAGGACATAGCGAACCTTCCAATAGTCCCTGGAATACTCCTATATTGTTATTAAAAAAGAAATCAGAGAAGTGGAGGCTCCTACAAATTAATCGAGAAAGATTAGTAAGACTATGGAAGACATGGGAACTTTCCAACATGGGCTGCCCTCTCCTTCTGCTGTTCCCAGGGATGATAATATCAGAGTCACAGATTAACAGGACTGTTTCTTTACCATTCCTGTAAGTTCTCAGGACTGTAAAAGATTTGCCTTTAGTCTTCCCACTGCAAATTTAAGACAGCCATTTCATAGATATCAATAAAAAGTCCTCCCTCAGGGTGTGAAAAACACCCTCTGTCAAGAATTTGTAGTTACAGCTTTACAAAAAATTAGAGATAAACACTCACAGGTTTATTTGCTTCCTTACATGAATGCTATTCTTACCTCCCACAAGGCCAGAGCCTACCTACAGGAAGTGTTGAAACAACTGATTTCTCAGTTGTCTGCCTGTGAGCTTAAGGTGGCTCCAGAAAACAAACAGGTACAGCCTCCGTTTAATTATCTGGGACATAGTCTAAGGACATAGAGACCCACCAACCTTTAGAATTAAGGCTAGATAAGCTCACAACGTCAAATAATTTTCAAACACTTTTAGGGGATTGTAAGTTGGATCTGTCCTTTTTTAAAAAAAAATAATCACTGCTGAGGTTAAGCCTTTGTCTGACATATTGAAGGGGATCCACGATCTCTCAGATCATTAACCGAGGAGGCAAAACAAGCTCTACAATTGGAACAAAAGGGAATTTCAAACCAACAGTTACACTGAATTGATTGTGCACAGGCTTGGAATCTGGTTATGATAGCCACTCCTCATACTGGATGACTCTGGCAAACAGGCCACTTGAATGTCATTTACCTGTGAGAGCTAGAAAAATTGTTGCTTCATTATTACTCGGTAGTTGCCTTCTTGATCCTTACAGGTAGGTATTCTGGATAACCCACAGACAAGCTATTGTGGAGCGAGCTCATCAAACTTTAGAGGGACATATTGACATATTACTAAATTACAAGAAGGAGAACTTAAATATCATTCTCCACATCGTATTCTCCAACAATGATCAGTCATTGTCAATGGAAAGGACCCAATGTACTTTTAACTTTGAGTGGAGGCGTGTGTATGTCTTCTCACAGGACACAGATTCTCCTGATCTGACTCCAGCAGCAGAGCCAACAGCTACTAAGCCTGACTCCATCCCCACAGTACAAAGAAGAAAAGGAGGAAGAAGAGGATAAAAAGAGGAAGAGGAGGAAGAGGAAAAGGGAAAAGAAGGAAGAGGAAAAGAGGAAGAGGAGGATAAAAAGAAGAGGAAGAGGAGGAAGAAAAGGAAGAAGAAGGAGAAGGAGGAGGAGGAGGAAGAAGAGGAGGAGGAGAAACAGCAGCACCAGAAGCAGCACAAGTAGAAGCTACTGCTGACTCCAGAGCTATGGGTGGATGTTAACTCTTTTGATTCCAGCCCAGGAGCTTAGAGGTCTTGGAACTTATTCCCCCATTTCAAAAATTTCTGATCCTCAAATAACAAAACAAACAAACAAAAACCAAACAACAACAACAAAACCTTCTCGGCAAGCAATCACCTGTAAATCTGAAGCAGTCTTGGTATGTTGGCCCAGGAATTCATGCTTTAGATATTATTACTGTTGCCCTTACTAGACCTAAGAGATCTGCTGCTTCTCTCACATTAGAAATTACTGCTAGGACCCATCACAGCCTCTGCTACTGCACTGTCTCAACAAATGCATACTGCAGCTCTCTAGGAATGTTTCATTAGCGCTTATTACACAGGAGAATATTGATAAAAATTTACAGGGCAAGATAAATACATTGGAAAAAGCAATCTTTTTATAGGCAATCAGATTCAAAATGTTAAGGTTACATTGACTGTTTCTTGTCATTCACAACTGGGTATGAGTTACCCAAGTTCCACATAATTTATGTGACCAAAATATGGGAATAAGTTAGATCCCATTTCCATGGCCTATGGAATAATTCTGATTTGCCAATAAATATGCAACACTTGCATTAATAAATTGCAGCTATAAGTGCAGATCAATCAGGACCTAGCTCAGCTGCAGAAGTTGCAGATAATTTTTTACAGTCTCTGACATCCTTTGTCTTGGAAATGGACATTTAGTCTTTTCATTATTAATTCAGGAATAATTTTGAGAATAGTTCTAATTTTAAGTCCTGTTCTTCCAGTCATCCTCCAAAGACTGAAAAATGCCCTGCGTGCCACACAAAGAGATCTACAAACCTCTAAGTTATTAAACCAGAGAGAAGGAAATGGCACAGCCATGTTCAATGGAAGTGGTCTGATGGCTAGACAGTCAGAGCTGCTGAACTCCGCTGACCATTCACTGCCTGACTCACTCCTTCTCCCCCTGACTCCTTATCTCCTCTGTGGGCTGCCCTGTCAGCAAAGACCCTCTGACTCTCCTTGCCAGGGAAGCACCTCCCCGGAAAGGCCTCCCACCCTGTGGGTACCCAAAACAAAGGAGAGTTAGAAGTTTAGACTTTTACAAACACTCCATTTTTTCTTATTCATTCTTACTGAAAATCTTATACTCTAGTATGAAACATACCTTCCCCCCTGCCTTTTTCACTAAAAAAAAAAAAAAAAAAAAAAAAAGACTCTATTGGCATTACCAGCATCATTAACCTTCTTCTTTGGGGTCATTATTAAGTAAAGTAATAGTAATTTGAACACAAGCACTAGCAATACTGTGGCAGTCAGTCTGGTAACCATGACAACTACTTAGTGACAGATGGGCAGGCAACATATATCACATGGATACATTGGACAAAGGGGTGCTTCACAGCCTAAGTGTGACAGGGAAGAGCACAGTGAGAGTTCATCATGCTTTTCATAAAAGACACGTAATTTGAAACACAAACTGTTTCTAGAATTTCACACATAATATCTTCACAATATGGTTGAGCACAGGTAACTCGGATTGTGGGAAGGGGCACTGTAGATGAGAGGTGAGTACTATTTTATTGTCAAGCACTTCCTCTAAGAAGATGGCCGGACAACCCAGGAATGGTGGCACATGCCTATGATCACAGAATTTGGGAAAGAGAGGAAGGCGTGTCAGGAATTCAAGGCCAGCCTTAGTTATTAGATAGGTTTGAGGACAGAGTGAGCTTCACAAGACCCCCGTCTCACCCTAAAAGAAGACAGACAAAAAAGAGTTGCTCGGACACGAACCTAGCTCCCAGTCAAAGACACTCATGTGGCCCTGACCTCTAATAACTCCACAGGTGCCGGTGGGCCTCTGAGCTCATCAGCTCCCTACACATTCTCCTTTGAGTTTGGGGACGGTGGGGGAGCCAGCCAGGAGCACCCAGACCTCCACTTTGCTTCTAGTCATTGAAAATGCTGTTTAACAGCTGAGAGACACAGGCGATCAGGGTTTTCCCCTCCTACTGACAGTAGTGTCTGAATAGGACCGATATGTTCAATGAGGGACAAAGCTGATGCGACGGATTTATGAAATGGATTATTTTGCCCTCGACTGACACGCTAACTGCATCTGTTTGCGGGGCCGAGTGACGCTGAAGGACACACACGATAAGATCGTGTAATCGTTTAGCGTCTAGAATCTCAGACATGAATCCTTTCTTTGGGCTGAGAATGTTAATGATTCCACTAGCTATTCTGAAATAGTCAACTAATTGTCGAACACAATTACCCCACTGTGCTACAGAACGATTAGAGGCTACTCCCCCGCTCCCCATCCAGCTATACCACAGTACCTGTTAACACTCCTTTCTCCATTCCCCAATTTCCTCTGAAGGCTGAATTTTTACACTATAAAGGGACAGTGAGAATGGGAGAGGGAGCATGTCGGCACAGTCAAATTAGTCAACCCGGGCAGTAGTGACTTTTCCGAAGACTACAGCAGCTGCTGCTCGTGTCTTGTACAACCTTAAAACAACTTTACCATTCACCGACCTCATCGCCGTCCTGAAGTTCCGCCAATCCATTTATTCCTCCATCCAAACAGCACACCCCATTTTCTTTACCTTGGCAGCAGCCAGAAGCCTAATGGGGGGAATGAGGGTGGACACACAAAAAAAAAAAATGTCAGAATTCCATGCAGGATTTTATTGTTAACTGGGTGCTGACGGTCGAAACTGTAGAACCAATACTATAAGGTGTAATAAATGAAAAACATTTATATCTCAACATATCCAAGCCAACTCTACTGAAAAACTAAGTTTATAAGAAATTCTGACTATTGGTGATTATTTAATATAGTTTATAAAGGTCTTAAAAGATAATCCTGCCATATAGCAATAAACGTTAACCATGGTAATTATTAATAATGCCAATATTTTAAGTACCACTAACAAGAATTGGCATCTTGCTTGATCTTATCTATGAGGCATTCATTCCACAGTTCATCTTGCAGAGATGATTGTCTGTGGCGGGGGGAGGACCAACCATGACTAAATATGTTTTAAAATGCCATAAGAGAGCCTGTTATTTTGCATGATAATTTAAAAACGAAGAAGAAGAAGGCAATGGCTTTCATAGGTTTTTGTTTGCTAGTTTTCTAAGTATTAATTATTGAGTAGCTATTAATTAGTATGTGCTAACTGTGCCCACGAGAAGGTCAGCCTCCACTGCCCAGCAGTCAGTGCAGTAAAAACATGGAACGGCTCATGGACAGTGGTGCCGTATTGTGACCAGTGTCACGCTGTCACTCACGTACACGTATCATGTTCACAGAGGGCTACAGAGGCACCCAGGCAGGGCCCCTAACTTAGGCAAACAGAGCAGGAGCAGCTTCTTGGAAGGAATGACTTCTGGCCAAGGTCCAACTGCTCGGATGCTTACAATTTCACTATCCAGGCCATGAGGTTAAGCATCCTACTTGAGAATGATACACAGAAACTGTGTGTCACTACCACGAGGTAATGCTCCTGATAGAAATGACTGTTGCCATAATCCTACCAGGCAACTCTTACACTGTTGCTTTGTTTTGTTTTGGGGGAAATCCATTCAGCCATCTATCCCTTTCTACTCACTTTACAGAAAGTCTTGCACGCATCAATTATGGGTCTGTATCCGGTGCAGCGGCACAGGTTTCCTGAAGAAGACAGAGCCAGGTTGGTTACTCAAGTGCCCCAAACAGAAGCATGGAATGCCAAGTGAATAACAGGATGAAGGACCCCATCTTACAGAAGAGCTTTCTTGATGTCTTAATTTTGAAGTCTTGTGTCTAAAATTTCATTTCTTACATCAGCATCTTGGGATATTTAGTCAAGAGTCTTGAAGTACAAATATAAACATCTCAGCCATCTGTACTTACTCTCTGTAAACACACTTCATACCCTCTTCTTGTGACAGATGGTCAAATGAAACAATAATTTTAAGACAAAAACTTGGTTGGTCGTTACAATCAAGAGCTAAACTTAAAGAAAACAACAGCCACTTCATTGAAATGTTAATACCTAAAATCCGTATTCGTCTAATCAGTACCTGGGGATCCATCCCCATAGTCAAAAACGTGAGCATAGCCACCACTCTGAGTTTCCTCATGTCATTTATCTATTTAATCATTCGCCAGAGAGAAGGCATTTAACAAAAGATCTGTCCTCTCAGCAACTATTTAAATATATAACATAGTATTGGTAGCTATGACAACCAAGTTGAATTTATTGCACTTCTTCATTTTGCATGACAAACTTTGCAACCTTTGATTGATAATTCCTCATGTTCTCCTTCTCCCACCCCAGGTAATCACTTTGTGATCACAATCCTATTTCCTGCTTCTACAAATTGGACTATTTCAAGTTGCTTGTGTAAGCAGGACGGTACAATGTTTGCTCTCCTAGGTCTGGCTTGTTTCACTTAGCATAATGTGCTTTGGTTCACGCATGTTGTTACAAGTGGCAAGATTCTTTTCCTTTTTTTTTATTTAAAGAAAGATTCCCTTCATTGATACTTACTGTGGCAGCTATCAGTTTTTGACAGAGGGAGTGCAAAGGAAAGAAGGAGAGAGAAACAAGAGGGAATTTTCAGTTGACAGATCAAAGTCATTCTGTAAAGAAAAGATAAGTAGTTTCTGAATTTGGGAGGCGACTCAGCACATAGCTATTTACAATAAATGGTTTGGTATACTTTCCACTCAGAGTGGTTCTGTGTTATCACTCCACCAATATGAGGTCATATTTACTTGTGTGTGTGGCCTATGTATGTGTTCCTGTTGTGTGTACAATCATGTGAGAGCACACGTGGAGGTCAGAGGTGGGTGTCCTGCTCAATTGCTCTCCGCACCTTATTTTGAGACAGAGACTCTCGCTGAACTTGTTTATCAGTTCAGCTGGCCAGTGCATTCTGGGGATCCTCCCGTGTCTGATACATCCTCCCATTCCCAGCACAGCACAGCGCAGCGGCCACACACCATCACTCCCAGACTTTGAACAGGGGTGGTAGGGATCGAAAATCAGGCCCGCATGGCAGACACTTCACTGACAGCCACCTCCCCAGCCCCTGGGGTCTTATTTCAGAAGCAGCACAAGATCAAGTTCTCTAGTGGTCAGTTGCCTCAGATCGTCACCATTTATACATTTCCCATGCACGCCTTAAGCATCCTAAAATTTGAGACTCCTTGGTCAGTGTTCACATCACTAACAGCCACAAAGCAACAATGTGACCTCTGGGAAATCAGGCAGGACCCAGTTTAGGAGCTTTGGCACTCCTTTGTACCCGTGTTTGCTCTGAGAGTCCCTGAGGCATCTTGTTGAGGAAGAAGACAGAGCAGAGAAAAAAAAAGAGGCAAGAGACAAAGACAAATAAAGGCAGGGAGCGTTTCACCGGGTAGAGAGAGAATCTGAGAGACTATTAATGCTTAAAACTTGCTCAGAAATTTATTGATGAACACAGCGAGAGAGAGTGAGAGAGAGAAACTTGAATTTGGAGGAAGAGCTCAGAGTGGAAAGGGGTCATTAAAATAAGTATCCCTCACAGACTTCAGTGGGACTTCAGCTGTTCTCCACCGCTCAGCCACACCCCACTAATCCTTGCTACACGGTGGTGAAGGACATCTGTAACCTGACTCAGAAGCTGTTCCAGCCTACAGGCGTTGATGGTAACTAAACCCAGCATGATACCTACCACCTCTGCCTTCATTTTGATCTGTTTCCTGACCGGCTCTGCATGCTGGCATGCAATCCTTTACAGCCTGCTTACCCAAGGCTGCTCTCTAGACCTCTCCCTTTAAGGCTCAGCGCACCAACATAACTAAGATGTTTTTAAGAGTTACAGGGACAGTCCAGACTCTTGAAGTGGTGCCTAGAAGTCCTCCCACACTGCCCTATAACTCTCAAGAACAGTGGAGCCCTACAGACAGTTTGTCAGGCGTGAGCGTGCCCAATAAAGGAGCCACCATCCCCTGAGACAGAATCCCAGGGTCATAGGCTTGATAGATAAACCGCCTGTGACACTGATGGAGATCTCCCCTGAGCAGCAGCCACTTCCTTGGTAGCACAGGGAGGCAGCACTGAGGTCCAGCTGTGCAATCCCCCTTTCTCTTGCTTTTGCACTGGGCCCTCGCTTTGAAGCCAGTGTTCCGGAAGACAGTCATGAACTATTCAATCTCCGTTCTTTTCCTAGTATAATCCTGTTGAAAATGTAACTCCTTTTCATCATCACTTTTTCTACCTTATCTCCAGGATGAGGGTCGGGACCTGGTTTCCTGGGGGCTTCCCAGAGTCAGGCCTCTTGCCTAGGACTCCACAAATACTTCACTCAAACAACAGGAAAGAGTGGTAACGATGCAGCGCTCACACACAACACGTCTTTTCCAGGGTGGATGAGTAGCCAGGCTTTCTGATGCTTGTAGGAAAGAAGGGAACAACATGGAGAGCGAGGAATCACCTTAAGCACTCCCTCAGCCAAACACCACGTGTAGCTCTGGTTTGCAGGTCGACTTCAAGAAATCAAGTCTATGCTGACGGGATAATTTATAATCAATCCTTCTCTAAATCTCTGCTTCTCCATCTATGAAAGGAAGATCTAATGGCAATTGTCTTATAACTAGTTTAGACTAATTTCCAAATAGCATTTAATTTATCATGTGCCATATCGTAGGAGTCCAGTTATTACCGTCATCGTCATCACCTAAAAAATAAAAACATTCTTACCACCGAGGGCATCGGTGAGCTGGTCTAAGGTGGGCTCTGGATGGTTCCTCAGCAGCGCATACATGGACATCACCATCCCGGGGGTGCAGAAGCCACACTGCGTGCCGTGACACTTGGCAATCCTCTCCTGGAAGCACGGAGAGGTTAGAGACGCAGACCTTGTGCTCTGTGCTAGGCCTAAAAACTCAGAGCAACTTCCCAAGGACGTTCTTGTGCTCAATGAATTTGGAGAGGCGCCCCCCCCCCCCCCGACCAAGCCCATCCCAGGTGGCTTCCTCTGGCCAGTCTGACTGTTCTGGTTCTGAGTCTTTGAATGGTCAGGGAGCTTGCCAGCTCACCACCCCAGCAGCACGCTGGGTCCACCGACTTAAGAGTGTGAGGGCTGTGGCGAAACTGTGTCTTTTAAGGAATCCTCAAGGTGCGGTGAGAGTGTGAGCTGCTGCAGTAGAGTCGTCGTTGGAAGAAATGACCAAATTATATGCGAGTTGAAAAAGTGGAAAAAGAGTGACATACTTGGGCATGAAAACATACAACACACACACAAACACACATTTAGTATTCCACGAATGCTTTGATCTTCCCACAGCTGTGTTAATGCCCGAGCATGCAGGACTTTACAAAGCACCAGAACCCAGAATCCGATGGAGATAGAAATGCTGCCTTCATTTTTTCCATCGCCACCATTTTCTCTTCGGAGTCTGACTTTCAAGACAACTGCGTCCTGGCAGCTGTCTCCCAGCAGCATTGAGAGCGCAGCACCAGTTGAAAATGAAAAGGACCCCTTTGCCTGTGAGAGGTCAAGTTGCACAGGGTGTCCAGGCAGCACCCTCTTTTTTTTTTTAGCTTAATGGGTTTCAGAACATTAAACCCAAGATTTTTATCACATCTACAGAATGTGAAGTTTGCCTATTTTCTACGTGGCTCCTGTCTTGTCCCTCTCCTACCCACTCCTCAGAGATGGTCCCTCAATAACTAGATCAAGGCAAGGGCCAATGGCATGTTGGGGGAATCTCGTCCACTGTGTAAGGGGTCTGGGTCTGAGCAACAGCCCTCAGAAAGGTGTTGCTCTAAGAAAAGCCACAGAGTCTAAAGACGAATCCTGGCCTCCCACAAATCCAAACTCAGCACATCTTTATAAGCGCGGGGTGGGGGAGGGAGGGATGATATTTTCAAATCAGCCTTTAAATCGAGTTATTTTCCACTTTCCAACAACAACCAACCAAAAATCGTATACGGCAAAGCACGTGGCTGGTATTTCCTTCTGGGTTTGATACAAGATGGACGGACGGTTCCCTCTAACTGGGACACAGAGGAAACAGAGCTGGTAACAACAGCATTTCCTTAAGAAGGTAGTCTTCTAGTCTTCCAAAGCATCTTCCCACAAAGCCAGGTACTCTATGCCCCGGTGTCCCAGCTTCACTCTCAGCTCCAGGTGGGTTTTAACTGTTACCGGTGACCAAACAACCCGACCCAGACTTTGTAACTCAAGGTTCCCCTGGGGAAGCCGCGCACCCTCACCTGAATGGGATGGAGTCTGGTCCTGGTGCTGCCTATGCCTTCTACTGTAGTGACGGCTGTGCCGTACAGAGAACAGATGGGGGTCAGACAGGCATTCACCGGATGATGCCTTCAGAATGGAAAAGAGAAGCACGAGTTACAGATTGCATCATCATGTTGGTTGGAAAGAGGAGTAGGCACCCCCCCATCCCCCAGACTCCTCCAGGAGGCAGGTCAAGAGTGATGTCCCAGGCTTTGGATTTCATCCTCAGCACATCTCCATTTGCAGAAACAGAATCAGAGAACCAGAGTGATTTATTCAGGGTCACAGCTGGAGTGGCGGCAGTAGAATTAAAATTAGATCTCAGAATTCCGATTTCTGAACAGCTTCAACCGACTTAATTATTTTCCTTTCAAATCAGGGCTGAAGCTCTCTAATTGCATGGAACTGGCCATGAACCTTAAGCTGCTTCCATCCTGCAGGGGCCAAGGTCGGTTGGGCAATAAAGTGAGTTGATATTGCTTCTCAAAAGAAGAAACAGTGTCAGGAAAAGAGCTATTCCAACCCACCGGACCACTGATAAAAATGCCCAATTCAAAACAACACTTAAAATCTTCTCATTTACTAAACACAACTAAACATGAGCAATGGATACAAGAGCAAAATGTTCAAAGCCCATAATAATCAGAAGAGATTTGAACTAAACAATGAGAAACGTCATTTTATCAAATAAAATCATAAACATTTTCAAAAAGTATAATGTCCATTATTAACATAGGAATTGGCAAATGACACTCCTACCACTCATAAAGAGTGAAAATACACTCTCTCGGAGTTCCTCTGGGAGACAGTTCATTTGGAAGACATAAAAATAACTTTGAAATTCACTTGCTCACTAACTCTGCATTTATACCTCTGTAGATATAAGTAAACGGTCATGGACATAACCATTACCCATAACAAGGTTCACTGATGAATGCTAATATAATCCCCTATTTGGGAGTTGGTTTTGATGCTTTGAAATGATGCAACACACAAGCCATTAAAATTGCATTCGTTATCTGACAGGTATTCGTGAAACTGTATGGGGAAAAATAATGCATGTTTAAGCAGTATATGAAGGTTGCTTCCATAGGATGAAAACAAAAGAAAGAGTGGAAAGATATCACTTACTGATAAGTAAACTGAAATACTGGGCAGCTAACTACGGGCCAAGAAGAGCGGCAGGTGTTGGAACTCACCAGTGAGCAGAGACGACCCACCCCAGCAGAGGGAAGAAAAGACTACTCTCCTGCGCACTGAGACAGCCATAAGTGCTGCAGGGCAGGGCGGAGGCAGACTTGTTTGGGAAACCAGGGAGGGGTGAGCCAGTCAATGCTTCTGCTAAACTCTGGATGATTTGAAGGAGCTCATCGTGAGAGGCAGACGGCTAGCCTATGTGTGTGGACCCTGAGGTGGGAATGTGCTGAGATGTCTAGGAAGAGAAAGGGACAGAAGGAAAGCCAGTGGGGGTGACGAACAGCGGCTGTGGCAGAATGCTACTATCCAAGGCTACAGTCAGGCAGATCCCCCACAGCAAGCAAGCGACCAAGCCTCCTAGGGACGCTGAGTTTGAACACTGGCCACAGAGTTTAAATGTAACAAATCGGAAGACCATCTTGCTTTAAAAACCAAGTAAGCCAGGAAAGCTACAAAATCATGTTATTAAAAAAATTCATCTTCTTGAGAGCTACTGACAGCTGAAGGTTGCTGGGGGAGGGGGAGTCAGTTTTCTTTATGGTGTGGGGTTGGCTAAGTCAGCCATTTGGGGGGGGGGCTGGCCCCACGCCATGAGAGCATGGCAGCACAAACTGGATTCAGTAGGTTAAAAAAAAGAAAAAAGAGTGGGAGTGGGGTATATCCAGGAATCAGGGAGAAGAGGGGGTGAATATATGAGAACAAATGGCATACAACTATGAAATTCTGAAAGAATTCATTTAAAACATCATATGTGTGTGTGTGTGTGTGTGTGTGTGTGTGTGTGTGTAAACTCATCCCGCACTGAAGCTAAAAAACACTACACTCTGTTAAGTGTTAAATTCTAGTAAGAGAGAAGATACATGGACAGCTGTCCTCAGCCCTAAGATATTGCTGCTATGTTCCTGAAATGTGAGGACTAAGAATCTGCCGTGTACAGGAGTAAGGAGAAACCAGACCATTACTGGTCACATGTGGATGGATATGATGAGTTGAAACACACCTGGACCCTTCCCTACCAGCGTGCACAGTGTGCTTGGGGTTAGAGATGGTGGCTCAAAGCGGAGGTGGGGAAGAGACTGAAAGAAATTCCCGGGTGCCCGGGCTCTGTAACACAGATGGGATGGACAGAACTGAGAGAAAACTCGAGGCTTTCACTGAGTACAAGGTCATCATTCTAGGGGCTAAGAATAAGGCAACACGGCTGCCAAAGATCTCTCGAAGCTTAGAAGGTAAGAGAGGAGACCAAAGAGAGCTTTCCGATGTTCTAGAAGGCTGGCAGCCGGGCTGGGAGAGATTTCTCAGGGAATGCAAGCAGAGCAGGGCCCTGAGTCCTACAGGGATCCCGGCCCTCACTTGGAATGTGGGGACTGAGGAACGTGGGTGGGAAGAGGAGGGGAGAGAGACTGCCGCACAGATAAATATGGGAAACAATGACTCGGTGAAGAAAAATACCGAGTGTAACCAAAACAGGGAAGCAGATGGAGCGATGCCATCTAACTCTTAGTTGAAGAATGCACGCCTGGGAGCCGGGAGGTGTGCGCAGGCCCGGACCACGGGAGTGTGGGCGTGGCTCCTCCCTCCACTCCCTTTCCAAAGCAGCCTCCCTTCCCCATCTGCATCTGGCAGCCCTTCCGCTCCCCGCTGGCGCTCGTTTTCCAATCTATTCCTAGTCTTGCCCATCCTGGGGCTCCTCAGTGCTTAGCACAGTTCTTTCCACGCAAGCACCGAAACGTTCACGCATAGCCGGACCTCGCAGCAAGGTACCTGACGGCCTTGGTGCTGGGGTTGTACCGGGAGACCATCACAGTGCAGGCGCCGCAGCCCCCGCCTCCGCAGCCGTACTTAGTGCCCGTGAGGCGCACTGAAAAGGGGTGGGTTAAAGAAAATGTTTTCTGGCCTTTTGTCTTTCTTTCTTTCTAGAATAGACACCCTAGGTGTCTAACCCCATCGCAGACATGTATGGAAGAGCTCAGTGTGAATTCACCAAGAGCTGCCACTTGAGTCTCGCCATCTCCTGCTTCCTTTTGTACGTTACAGCTGGCACCCACCCTTTGTAAGAAGCTGGAACACAGGCTGACCAAAAAGAGGGCCAGAGGGAAGCGTCTAGGCGTACAAGGATTTGAGAATTTCGCCGGCGGGAGTGCACTGTGCGTTTACCGTCAGCATTGTGCAGCTCCCTCACTGATGATGCCTTCTCTGGCCCTCCTCACACTCCTCACACACAGACATCTCTCCCAACAGAGTCCCCCCACGGGCCACTGTACTTTCTGGTGCCTGCTTCCTGAAGGACACAAACCAACACAGTGGAAAAAACAAACAAACAAACAAACAAACGAACGAACCTTCCAACTTCTATCCTGTTGAGACTCTGGGTTTTCTGGCACTCACACTGAACCAAACCCTAAGAACTACCACGCATGGGTGCCGTGGCTATTCAGAAAGTCCGTGTTTGTTGCCCTCATGCTTAAAGATCTTGAATGGCTTTCTGGACCTTACCCACTTGTCTGAAAGTAACCACTGATGTTTCTTCTGTGCTCTTTCTTGGAATTTCCCCATCCCCAATGGAAAAATACAGCGACCGGAGCCACCACATTTTGCATATAACGTAGGGGGAAGGTGGCCTCCAGACGCCACCGGAGTTCACACAGGCTGGCCTGTGAAATGCGGTGAGGGTCCTATTTTCAAACGTAGTTTTCCGCTTGCTGGGTGTTTTCTTTCTCCAATGCCATAAACATCAGTCATCGAAGATAAAGCACAACTAGTATCTGTTGATTCTAGAGGAGGCTTAATGACTGATTCGTTAAACACTCTTCTCTTTAATTCCCCTCTCTCATCTCTCTATCTTAGGCCAGCCAGTGTTAAAGCAGAGGTTAAGAGGATGCACTGACACACTCATTCACACACACAAACACATCACACAAAGTTACCCTTAACTCACAAACTCCTACATTCATTACTTCCTCACACACTCCAACACACAAATCCTTATATACTCAAGTGCTCTCGCCTCACATACACACAGGACATTCTCACACAGCAGACTCATATACGCCCACACACAATGCACACGCACAAGTGCACAATCATCCTCTCACTGAAATGCTCTCTCATACACAAACCCAGTCACACCCTCACACATACATATAATTCATTTAGGCACACTCATGCACACACACTCACAGGCCCACATTCACATACTCGAAACTCTTACCCATTGTCAGTCCCACAAACTCTGAGTGCACACACACTTGAAGGCGCTCACTAGTACATAAAACTAGTACTCAAACACACACACACAGATGCTTATACACATACCTAACACATTCTGACACAGATTCATACTTAGACTTAACACGCACACAATTCATATACTCATGCTCATGAAAACACACTTCTCACATAGTAAAACACAGAACACAGATCCATTCACAAACACAACACACACACACACACACACACTCAAACATATCTCAAACATACTCACAAACCCTCATACAAGCTCACACACAAAGACTCACACTCCTCTACACACTCATATTTTACCCAAATTCACACACCAGAACCTGTACATACCTACTCAAGACATGCTGCAGACTTGCAGATATATGCGCTCACATGTTGACACACAAACACATACACACATTGCCCTCACAGATTCTCACAGGCTCACGGCCTTGGCACACACCAACTCCCACACTCACGGCACACAGCAAAGGATACGCTTCTTCCTCAGGTACGGCAATAGCATCATTTCAGGATCGACATTTTTTTCTATCACCTGTGCAAAAGAAACATAGTTATACACACAGAAATGCGACCTGATATGATACTGTTTTCACACCGGTAGGGTCGTGCCGATCTGAGAGACGTGCACCCATGATATGAAAACATTATCAGCCGTCAGGCCAAAGTATAAATCTCCAAGCCGGACTGTCCCTTATCCCGAATCATCACTGTTCCTTAAGGTGGTGACCGTCTGCACTCACTGACACACTAGCGACTCTGTCCAGCTTCTCCCGGAAAGGCACTAGAGGAGAACAGAACAGTGGGCCAGGAGGGAGAAAAGCAGGAACCCAGAGATGAGCCCCTGGCAGAGCAGAGTGTCTGAGAGCCGGTGCAGCTCACTGAGAAGACTTGTTTGCCAAGTGAGTGGAGACCACAACCAACCGAGTGCCTGAACTAAAGCAGCTGATGCGTGCGCCGGGCCACGAGTGGCCATGCAGCCAGGCCCACTTAAGCACTGGGCTGACAGAAAGTCAGGAACTGAAACACGATGGCTGGCACCTGAATCCTCTTTTCTCTATTTTGATTAAAATTTAAAACGAATGCTTTAAGCACACACTGTGTTGCACAGACATACATGCCGGCAAAACACTCAAACACGGAAAATAAAACGTAAACATGTTTTCAGTCGGCCCATGAAGTCATGGATCTGTGGCAATTGTACTTTGCTGCTGCTCATCTCCCCCCACTCCCACTGTGGTTCCCCAGCTGGTCCCCTCTTCTGCCTTCATGCCCCACGCACTGGAGATTCCTTTGGCGTTCACGCCACAGATGGAAGCGTGTCTTGTTTCACACAGTGATATAAACCCCAACTGTCTTTCTCCAGGTTCGGTACCTTGCCCCTCTGGGAAGGAAGAAGAAGGCATACACGCCACTGCCGCATGCCTCTCGTGGACACACAGCCACATGAGAGGCACACCTGTACCAGCCACTGCCTGAGTTTGGATCGCAGACAAACTCCGTTGTTAGTTCACTGAGCTACTCTCTTCCCTCTTTTCCCCAACCCACTCACAGCCTTATTCTCTCCCTCCACCCAGTGTCTCCGAGCTCTGCTCCTTGAATGTCTGACAAGGATGCTCTGAGTGTTCTCTGCTGCGCAGTCACCACTGCCACGAGCCTGCATCACCTGGAACCTTCACAGTTACGACAGCTGTCCCAAGCCTCCCCTCTGCCACCTGCAAGCCCAGCCTGCAGGAGGGATGACGCTAAATTATCATCTGCTAAATTATCATCTGCGTGCCATCTGGAGATTCCCCAGATGGCCAGGCAGCTGTTTAAATGACCCTCTCCTCCACCCAGAGAGGAACCAGAAAGAGTGGGTGAATTAATACCAGAGTCCCTGTGTTTAAGAACTTTAAACTCTTTGGCAACATGTCTTTGATACATAAATGTCCCCCTCACATCTTGCCAGCTCATCTCCTGTGAGCAGTGCACTGGACTTTTAACTTTCATTTCCTTTAGCATTCAAGGTTCCTCTAGAAAAGCAAAAGCCAGAGGCCTGCTGTGCTGGTCAGCAGGTCTCCTGAAGGTCTTCCGGAGGAGTCCTTGCAAAGGCAGACCTGAGTCACACAAGTCTAGCTTTTCACAGGGCCAGTCTCTCCAGGGGCTTCTCATGTTTCTCCGAACAGCCCCTCACTCTCTGCTTCTATCCATGTAGCAACGAGGCTTGCTCACCAGTGTCGAAACACATGCTTCACTAAACTTGGGAGGAACGATAAGGGTGGGGAAAGCTGACATGATTTTTGTTGTTGTTTGGCAGGGGAGGGGTGGATAAGTTTGCAAATTAAACCAGCATTTCTAGAGCCTACTTTACAAAATGATCACAGAACATTTGATCCCAGGAGCAGGTCCAAGGCACCTGGAGGCCAAGCAATGCCCGCAGCGGGACTAAGAGAGATAAAACGAGCCTTCAGATAAGAGCGGGCTCATTTATTTTAAAAATCAGTAGAGCATAAAGTGGCGCTACTTGCTACAAACCCTCCTGTTTGGAAGCAGAGGAGGGAGATGGAGCAGGAGACAGCGACCTCAGGCTCACTGGAAACTCAGCATCACCTAGAAAGCTCCACTCCAGCGCTAACAACCTGTTCTCAGAGCATGGACGCGTTATCCTGCCCCAGGACTTATCTGTCCTTTCCCCATATGTATGTTTGACTGGGTCCTACTTTATCCCAGACACCGCTCCAGTGTCCCCTGAATCCACCCCATCAGCTCCTGCTCATCTCAATCTCTCTTCATGCCACTGCCTGACACCGCACTCTCTCCGGTTATTGATGTGCACACTGGCTGTTTCCCCAGCAGAGTCAGCGCCACACCGGCAGGGGCCTCATCATTTCTGTGCGGTGCTGTCTCCGGAAGGTCCAAACACAGTTTAGCATATGTTAGGCTGGTAATGAAAACACGCATTGAATATTCATGATTACTCCTTATGCATAGTGATCCGCAGACCTGTAATGGATTTCCTGTTTGTTTAATAAGGATGGGACACTCGTGCTTATTCTTTCATGCAAAAGTAAATATGAAGGAGCGGGGCAACCGTTTCACCTCATTCTCCTAGCTCACCTTCATGGTGGTCCTGTGGGACCCTCATGGGTGCTATAACTGGGGAGACCCTGTTCTTCAAGAAAACACATTACAAAACATTGTGTGAATCACCTCATGGCCTCAGAACAGGCCTCATACACGAAAGGCCTGTTAAATCATCCTTGGCTTCCTGAGGATCAGCCAGTGCCAGCCAGCGTAAGGGCTCTGGCTGCCCCTAGCCAGATGCAGGGACCATAGGTGGATCTGAACTGAGCCGCACTGCCACTGTCAACTCCATGTCCGCCTCAAAGTGCTATCAGTTTATACTGAGAGCTCTCCAAATAAGCAGGGCCACTGCTCAGATCTTTGCCTTAAAGGATGCCCAGGGGCTCTGTTGTCTCCAAGTCATAGGCCTTGCCTGGGGCAGCCATAAAGGTCTTCATTGCCAAAGAACACACTCAAAACAAAATGCCACTTCAGCAAGGAGCCCTAGCGCCTGGTTCTGGCAAGCTATGCTGTGCCAGGAACTTGTCTGACCCTACCAAGTCACAACGTCAAATCACGGGACAGCTTGAATCATCTCTGTGGTGCCATCAATGCTGGGTGTTGCTCAGCCGGAGGAGCTGAGAAATGAAGGGCTGGGGAGGGAAAATCTGGATGCTCCCTGTTGGGAAAGGAGGGAACTCCTGGGCAATTATGCATCAGTCTCTCGTGCCCCTAGTCTTGCATGCACAGGTAGTGATTCAAAGGCATGCCATGCCAAAGCGGGAAAGCGGGGTGCAGGCTCGGAAAGGGACTGGAACTGATGCAGGGGTCTACCCGCCCTGCCCGGGCAGCCTGCGGGCGCTCACCTTCCGGCCGTTCACGAAGAAGAGCAGCTGCTGCGAGTCCATGACGCCCCGAGGTCCCAGTCCCGAGCAGGTCTCAAGTAGCGCAAGCCTTCAGAGAAAATAAGTAGCCTGAGGAAGCTGGGCGGGGCTTGCCCGAGCCCCAAGGCCTCCACCCTCCCAGAAAGTCCTGGAAGAGCCAATGCAGGAAAACTTTCCTGACCCTATCGGGTGTGCCAGCGCAGGGGACACACAGAAATCATTAACTTTGGAATCAAAAGGGACTGACAGGTTCCTGATCTCGCAGCTCTGCAGCCAGGACATTGCTGAGTCATTGCTGTGGTATCCGGTGCCAAGGCTTGCTTATTGGAATTGGCTCCCAGTCCATTTGAATTGTTTCCTTGTTTAGGGTCAAGGGAGGCTGGTTCTTTTGCTGAGTTACATCCTGAGAGTGCTGGATGTACTCAGCACTCTTATTTATTTACTTGGGAAATACTTATCTCAATACGCCCAGAATGTTAACATTTTGCCTCTCTTTACATTTTAGAATCTGCATTATAAAATTCGGCAAGTCTCAACTGAGACCAAATTATTTTTCAGATGTCCTTTCACTTAGTATACCTCCCTAGATTATTTTAGTCATGCAAACACAACATTTTCTTCTTCCTTCCTCCATATCCTCCGCCCCCTGCGCCCCATAGGATTTCTAACGAGTAAGGCCTGGGTGTCTGAGAACTGTCTCTATAGACCAGGCTGGCCTCTAAGTCACAGATCTCCACCTGAACCCGACTCCTGAGCGCTGGGATTAAAGGTGTGTGCCACTATTCCCAGCCACGCAACATTTCATTGTGAAAATTTCCCAGTTTGTACATAGAAGAGAATAGTCCCCACAGCGCCACAAGCTTAGAGGAAAGCGGTTAACACCTCCTGGCTTCCTGGGTGTCTTAAAGCAAATTACAAATGAAGTGTTTTGTTTTCATTTATTTATTTATTTTCCTTTTTTATATTTTTAAAAAATTATTACAGTTTATTCACTTTGTATCCCAGCTGTAGCCCACTTGGTCCCTCTGGCCTTCCCTCTTCTCCTGCCATGCCAAATGCAGTGCATCACCCTAAATGCAGTAGACAGAAAGCATGTGCACACACATTCCATTCTTCTTCTTCTTCATTTATTATTTACTTACTGATTGTGGCAGAGTCTCACTATATGGCTATGGCTAGTTTGAAATTTACTGGCCTTGGACTGACACACATCAGCTTCTGCCTCCGCCTCCACACCTGCCAAACATTCTTTTTTGAAAAATACTTCATGTTTGACACGGGCTGGGGAGCTGGCTCAGAGATGAAGAGCTTCCAGAACTATGGACTAGAACAAACCTGCTTTCTTTATGAGCTGTTCAGTTTGAGGCATTCTGCTACAGCAATAGTGAACAGAATAAAATCTAGAATTGTATCATTTCCCTGACACCAGCAACCTTGATTCTAAAGTCTTAAACTAGAAACTGGAGAGATGGCTCAGTGGTTAAGACCAGAGTTCAATTCCCAGTACCCACAGTCTTCCATAACTCCAGCTCCAGGGAATCTGATTTCCTTCTTCGGATGGGCCAGGAACCTAGGCACACATCTCTCTCTCTCTCTCTCTCTCACACACACACACACACACACACACACCTATACACAAATAAATACACGCAGAAGCATACACACACATGCACACACAGGCAAAACATTCATACACATAAAATAAGAAAATCAGCTATTTGCTTTATTTTGTCCATAGATCTATTTAAAAACAAGAGCATCACTATTACAGTACCAATAAAAACCAGTGGAAGTTTAAGACTTTACAAGTCTTTTTATCCATGCAGCAGGTTCTACTGAACATGCAAACTGAAAATCTTTCCAGTGCCAGTTATCCCTTGCTCTCCTGCAAACTTAGTGAGAAGATACTCTCATCTCGAGGGTTTTTTGATAGCCTGCCTCGACGGCAGTTGCTTAGATTTTTGTTGTGGTGGTGGGATAGGATGTTTTTGCTCCTCTTTTTTTTTTGTTATTATGTACCATGGCATCCTGACATGTGTCTAAGAGAATTTTTGATATAGTTCCTCAAAAGTGGGATCACAGAAACAAATAGCAAATGCGTATGTAAAACTGCTGGATAGTGTTAGAATCTTTCCTATGAGCGTCTTTTCGCACGCTTCTAGCAACACACTAGAGACAAAGGGAAGGTAACAAGGGAAGGGTTGGATTAGCAAAACTTGATATATGGGAGACCTCCGAGGGAGGGCACTGCGCGCTCTTTGGCAACACCCCAGGAGAGGGCCTTTCCGGGGCAAGACATGAGTTGTCTAAAGAGAGTGCCGGGACAGCTCCAGACACCGTGAGCATTCAGCTGATGCTGAGTGCTGAAGCCAGCTGGCAGCTGGAACCAACTGGCATTGTGGGCAAAATGCCCCTACTAGGGTGAAACTGAGTAAAAGTGTAATTAGGAAGGAGCAAGTGAAAGGCCTTTCCCCTTGCTGTACTTTTCTCCTCTAGCACCCCCTGTTGACAGGAGTTAAAATGAAGTCGGTTGTCAAAGAAAATTTCAGTCTTGGTATAACATAGGAAAGTGTAAAGTGACAGTTGAGATGATGGCTGACAAGCATTAAAAAGTGGAGTTTACCAGGCATGGTGTTCACACTTGTGACTGCAGCCCCTGGAAGCCAAGGCAGGGGCATCATGCATTTGAAGCCAGCAAATTCCAACCAAGCCTAGGTATAGGCTGATGGCCTTTTTTTTTTTTTTTTTTTTTTTTCATTTTTAAAATTAATTCAATTTACATCTTGGTCATAGGCCCCTCCCTCTTCTCCTCCTAGTCCCACCCTCCCTCTCATATCCACTCTCCCCTATTCATGAGAATAGGGGAGCCTCCTACCCAGACACCCCAGCTCATCTGTTCACATGAGGACTGAGTTCCTCTTCCTCCCCTGTGCCCTGGTAGGGAAGTCCCATCAGGGGGAAATGATCAAAAAGCAGGCAGAGATATCCCTACTCCCGTAACTCGTAGGCCCACAGGAAGCCTAAGATACCCATTGTACTTATCTTCTTGGGGTCTGTGCATTGTAGTATGTCTGTCCTGTACTATATGGCTAAAATCCGCTTAAAAGTGAGTATATACTGTGTGTTTTTCAGAGATGTTGCAGGATATTTGATGCCACTGTGAACTGTAAAAACCCTGGTTTTGTTGTTGTTGTTGTTGTTTGTTTGTTTGGTGTAGCTGAGCCCTATCACACACCTTTAACCCAAGAACTTTTCATTGTAAACAGGTGATTATGGCATGGTTCACCCAGCCCTAGCACACACCTTTAATCTGAGAGTTTTATGTACGCAGAATTTAATAAAGTTAACCCTAGGGCAAGAGGCAGAACAAGAAACCAGTTGACAGGGATTAAAGAGTAGGAGGTACTTTGAGTTGAAGGGTATTTAAAACAGTGTGGAGAAAAAGAGCTTTTAGCTTCAGCTCTGGCTTTAGTTTTGGCTTCAGCTCCTCAGCCTCCCGGCTTTTTGGGCTTTGAGCTAGCAAGCCTTTGGCCTTGGGTTTTTTGGCCTTTTCCTCCTGGGCTGTCAGTTAAGCTAGTGAGCGTTCTGGGTTTTTTTCCATCTGGACCTGAGCTAAGGAAGGTCAGCCGGGTACTTTCTCTGCCTCTCTGAGCTAGCAGGTTTTCACCCCAGCATCTGGCTCCTGAGTATTTATTGGTAAAATAGAACAGTTGGGGTTTTCACTTTTGTAAAACAACACTGAGATTCCACCTTACGCCAATCAGAATGGTTAAGATCTTAAACTCAAGTGTCAACACATGCTAGCGAGGATGTGGAGAAAGGAGAACCCTCCTCCATTGCTGGTGGGAGTGCAAACTTGTACCTCTCTGGATATCAATCTGGTGCTTTCTCAGAAAACTGGAATAGCCATACCTCAAGATGCAGATACACCACTCCTGGGCATATACCCAAAAGATGTTCCACTATACAACAAGGACATTTGCTCAACCATGTTCACAGCAGCTTTATTCATAATAGCCAGAAACTGGAAACAACCCAGGTATCCCTCAACCAAAGAATAGATAAAAAAAAAAAAACACTGTACATTTACGCAATGGAATATTACCTAGCCAGTAAAAACAAGGAACTCATGAAATTTGCAGGCAAATAGCCTCTTTCAAACAAAGCGCAAAACAACAGGTTTCAGTATTAACAAATCCATGATGGACTCAGTGGCCGGCTCTTTGAGCACCTCCTTCTGGGGTGGCGGACAGTACAGCCTTGCCAGGCCCGAGAAGAAGAGGATGCAGCCAGTCCTGATGAGACCTGATAGGCTAGGGTCAGACAGACTGGGAGGAGGACCTCCCCTATCAGTGGACTAGGGAAGGGGCATAGGGGAAGAAGAGGGAAGGAGGGTGGGACTGGGAGGAGATGATGGACGGGGCTACAGCTGGGATACAGAGTGAATAAATTGTAATAATAGATCAATTAAAAAAATCCATGGATGTTTTCATATCAATGAATCGAAGAATCATCTTGGACTGATTTTTGTGCTATTAATGTTATTCAGACTCCAATCCATACTTCTCTACTTTGCCTTAAGGCCAGGACTTTGCAAATCAGCTTCCTCTCTTCCCCTCTTCCTCCCTTTTAGTCTCCAGCAACATAGGGTGTTAAAAGCAAATGGGAAGCATGGAAGGCAACAGGAAAGATGTGCCATTATTGCTCTGGGTGGTGGAGACACACAAAGTCTCCTTGGCAGCACCTGACTCCTGAAGCACTGCTAGCCCCACATCGGCAGACCAGTGCCATCACACCCACTCTGGGAAACCAGCAACAAGAGAGACCGGGCACTTGTGTTGTAAGGCATGGAGTCTCATAATTCCACCCTTTCTCCACGTGTCCCACCTCAGAGGTGGGGTATGGGTGCTTCCTGGAGTCTCTTCTGTGGTACGCCAGGCTCCCCTCCCCCTTGCTTTCTCAGTTCTTTAGACTACAGCAAACACTGATTACAGATTTCATCTCTTGGTTGGGTGCTAATCTGACTTCTACCAGTGCCAAGCAGCACCTGACAAAGTCGGTACCAACTGGGTTTTCAAAAACCACTCCAATAGTAATAGTTTATGCTGCAATAATAGTTCAATTTCCTGGCCATAAAGCAACCATCTTCTTCAGAGAGGCATTCTCATAGAACTTAGGAACAAGACAAAGATGCTATTTCCACAGCCAGCAAACACTTTGGGGAAACAGACAAGATCAGATAAGAAAAATCTATGAATGGCTGAAGAATTGTAATCAGCTTCATTTGCTTTGACTTTAAGAATCATTAATTTTGGAGGTCATACGGCTTAGCACTAGATAAAGCTGCCTAATGTTTTAAAACTGTGTCTTTTGTTATTTCTCCCTGGCTAACCGCAAGGTTAACTATTCCTGAGAAAAGGCTCTCAAGTTCACTAATCAATAACTTTTGTCTAGATTTAAAAAGTCCATGATATCTGATCTTTAGATACATCAAACTTAGGGCCAAGCATTTGCCAGTCTTGTTAATTTCAGGTGAAATGATTAACTTGCAGTGAAAGGTGTTACCTATAATCGTCTGAATGCGAACACTCTCCATAGGGTTATGTTTTCAATATTTGGCTCCCCGCAGGTGGTAGCCCTATTTTGGGAGGTGGGTCTAGTTGGAAAGTGGGTCACAGGACCCTAATCTGCAGGCCTCCTATTTGAGATAAATTAACTTTTTTTACTATGTTGGAGGTTGGTCTGATGCTAATTACTGGCCCTGTGTGTAAACCTGCCTAAGTCATTACAGCTGATTGGCTAATTAAACAGCCTATACCAGGGCAGGGCAGAAGGGGGTAGGCGTGGCTAAGGTTCCCTGGCTTTGGAGAATCCCAGGTGGAATCAAGGGAAAGACAGCCAGGAAGAGAGGAAGGAGGATGCCAGGATGGGTTAACCTGGAGAAAACACCATGTGGGCTGAGGAAGGCCTCCAAGAATGTTGTGAAAAGGCCCAGATGGAGAATATAAGCAAGTACCCTGGGGTTATGGCTGAAAGGTAGTCCAGCTGAGGATTGAGGTGGATGGCCTTGGCTGGGGGCTGGGAGATGGATGAAGACGTTGAGACTGAAAGTGAAATATCTGCCTGGCCCAAGGTAAATGAGGCAATTCTAAATCTGACAGGTGGCCATGTCTTGTTATTTGTGATAGTGGGTTAAATAATGCCGCCATGATAGTCTTAGGGCTAATAATAAACATTAGATAGCCCAGCACTACCACACCGTCACACGTTCCCACCATTGTTTTATCCAGCTGCCTCGGGGGACAACCAACCACAGATCACCCCTCTTTCTACCTTTAAGGTGTTCTAGCAGGTTATTAGTTATTTAGTTATTAGTGGTAAACAAACAAACAAAATCCTCCAATATATTATTTAAAGAATATAGGGACTGGCCTAAGAGATGAAATTTAGTTGCTTTATCTAGATTTTCTGGCAAAGAGAAAACACATAGCCAGGATGGTGAAGTATGTCCAGAATATAGGGCCTCTCTGCTCCTTTCCCATCCTGCCCTCTGCCCCTACGTGTAAAGCTGAGCTCCCAACGAAGGTCTTTGTTTCGAGAGATGAATGCTATTGTTCTACCATCTCCCCAAAGTTTCTGACTTTGAGCAAAAATTGATTTCTTTCTCACCAACTCATTCATGGCTTTTGAGCAATGAACTTACACTGGTCGTAGAATTAAAAATAAAGGGGGGGGGGTGTCAGAATGTCTGGAAGATACTGTTATAAGCCATAACAGGGTTTATTAACCAACATACAAAAATCAGTAGTCTCCATACATGCAAACAGTAATTTAGGAGGACCAAAGAGCAAGCCTTGTTCAGGCCAACCCCCCCACCCACCCAAAAGGAAAAGTGCCTAATAGTAAATTTATTAAAAGATGTCTAAAACATGAGGAAAACATTGAAATTCTAAAGAGATTTAGTCATGATACCTAAGTGAACAGAAGACAGGAAAATCAACAGACACATGCAAACGCAACACTAAAAAGTAGCCTTTCAGGTCGGTAAATTGACATGGGCTCTTAAATCAATGAATCACTTGAGAAATAGTAAAATATTACATGTATACTTCACACCATACAATAGTCTCTATACCAGTCTGAAATTTGTATCAACTTTTTAAGAATTAAATGTAAGAAAATTTGAAACCATAGGTACTTTTATAATCTGAAAACATTCTTTTTAGTGTGAACAAATTCTACCAATACTAAAAGAAAAAACTGGCTATGAAATACAAAGTAATTTGCGTGGGAGAGAGAAATAAAAGAAAATCTCACAGGGCAGGGAAAAAAAGAAATAAAAATATACTGCCAGAGAAATTCCAGGTCAAAGGTCTTAAACAGTATTCCTGGAGAACGAACAGACTGCCGGGAGGCAACCCTCTCCACAGGGTAAAATGAATGCTACTGTAATAAGGCCTCCAACGCTGCACAGGCAGGGTGGGGCTCTCGCGTGTTAGCAGCAGAGATGACAACCTCAATGACAGGAAGGATTCTATGCCTTGTTCTGCAATAAATAGTGTCTCAGTCCTGCCATCCTAGGACATCTCAAGGACTACCACAAGTGCTCATGAGCACATTAGTGGGTCCGTCCCTTCATTACCCAGAGATGGTGCCTGAAAGTGTTAGGCCTCAGTCACATAAAGCCTGCCGAGTTGTGTGACTGGTGAACTGTGTAGGGGTCTCAGACACAAGCAGGACTACCCTTGTATTAATTAAATTAAAATTAAAAAAATTAATTAAATTAAAAATTAATTTAAAAAAAATAAAGTGAAAAAGAGCTTGCCAGCTCAGCTCACGTTCTTAGGGAGGACCCAAGCTCAGTTTCTAGCAGCCAGGTCAGATGGCTCACATCCTCTTATAACTCTAGCTCTAGACGGTCCAGTGCACTCTTCTGGACGCCTCAGGCTCCTGCATTCATCAGTACTTACACCCACATAATTTAAAATAAATCTAAATTTAAGTGAGAAGGCAGGATACTAAGAAAGTACAACCATCTTTACCTAGCTAGGACTGACAAGATGGCTCAGTGGTTAAGAGGACCTGAGTTTGGTTCCCACCACTCACAATTGATAGTTCACAATGGCCTGTAACTCGAGCTTCAGTGGCTCTCTTAGCTACCCAGGTAGCATCCTGATGTCCCCATGGTATTCATTCACATAAAAAATCACACACATATTTAAAAAAAAATTTAAGCTACTTCACTGGTTGCAGAGAGAAATACCAGGTAAACAGTAACTTAAGGGAAGTAAGTGTTTATTTCAGTTTACAGTTTGAAGGAGTAAACCCACCATGGTAGAGAAGGATGGCAGCAGAAATGTGAGGTGGCCGGTCACGTCTCACCAGTCAGGCAACGGAGATCAATGTGGGTGTTCAGCTAGCTTTCTCCTCTTCGTTCACATATGGCCCCAGTCTGGGGGATGCCTGCTGCTCTTCCCACCATCATTGTCTAGAAGCCACCCACATGTCCCGAGTTCGTCTCCTACGTGATCCTAGAGTCTGCAGAGATGATGACATTAACCATGATGGTTAATCGATGCTTCAGTCTTCAGTCTTTTATCACATGAACTGATAAAGAGGCTGCTGCCTGCCTTTCTAAAAGAGGCAGGATGGCAAGAGGAAATGGAAACAGGCTAGGACAGGAGATGGTTTCAAACCCTCTTTGATCTTCACATAACTGAATCGCTCAATAGGAAAAGATATTCTGGTATATAAATAGATTTTATTTGGTTAAAAAATACTTGCTTGGTTAAATGATACTCGGTAGAAATTTAAGTTAAGTTAGTGATGACTGATGTTTTTAAAAAATTCATGTTTTAGAAAAAGTTTATTATTTAAAATGTAACTATTTTATGCACATATATAAGAATAGACAAAGCAATAATCCAGGAAAGGCCAAAAAAAAAAAAAAAAAGAAGAAGAATTAGAAGGAGGAGGAGGAGGAGGAGGGTAACAAAATACTTCTTCATGTAAAAACCCAAAACAGAATCCTTTGTTTTATGTCTTGGTCCCAGTTCGTTTCTTTCCCAGGTGTGTGTGCTCTGAGAACTCAGAAAAACTTGGATCCATATCTATTTCACCTTCTCATCTTGCTACAAAAGAAAAGAAAAAGCAAGATTAGCAACAATAATTCCAGGCTAATTTTTTTCCTGTGAAGAACTCAGAAGAAAATAATCCTTTCCAGTAACCAGTTCCCTTAAACACAGCTTTGTCGCATGAGCGAGGCGTGAGAGTACAAGCTTTTCACTTTAGTTTCTAGCACCTGTCACTGCACTCCTGGTATTTGCTTTACCTACATGAGGCCTCTTAGCTCAGTGAAATCACGCTGTGGGTGCTTCTCTAGGAGTCGCTGTTTTCATTCAACATCTTAGTCATCTTCAAGCCTCTCCTAAGCCGAAGCCACAGCCACTCATTTGTACTCCACACTGCTGCACCAGTCATTTTGCTGGGACCCCCAGCACTCACACTTGGGTCAAGGTTTGTTGTCACTTGTTTTGTTTTCTGTGAGCTAGCTATTCATGTCCCTCAGAAGTGGAGCTGAGGGAAATGCATGCGCTTGAGATGAAGGTGTTTTCCTCCAGAGAAGATTTACTTTCTTTGCTTCTTACACAAAAGGGTTTCTTATACTCCATTCTCAAGTCTTTACACTTTCCAGATTCCAGCTGAAATCTGAGTAAGGACTTGGTTTTATATAAACTCTGAGAATATCTGTTGTTTCCTATGTTCGGGACGAGACTTCTCTCCAGGGCTGGGAAGGGCACTGGGAAGCTGTTTCTAGGTTGATTCTCTATGGAGAGGATAGTTCAACTTTACTGAATGGCTCCGCACCACCCTTTATTTCAGCCAAGTCCTAGGATGCTCACTCTGCCCCTCGACCTCCGATGAGAGGCTAAGTCAGGCTGCCCCTGCTGCACACCCACTTTCAGGCAAGCTTCTGGTCCACTTACCTCTTTGGGCTCCTGCTTGCCTCTCTCTGAGCCCCTTTTAACATTCACATTAGCTAAGAGGCATACCCAGTTTACTTTGTTTCTCAGCACGTCTCTCGCCATTGTTGTTTTCTCGGGAGGAGGGCTGAACCATCCTCCTAGTACCTAGTGCTATGGGTGGCGCTGACTGTCTTCTCTGCACTGTGTGCACGCACATACACATGTATGAAGTCTTATTCTCCAGGTTGAGTGTTTTCAGTCTCAAACTGGGAAGGCAGGAAAGGCTAACTGGAGAGCTGTAACTCAGCTCTGGAGCCAATGACAGCACCATTTTGAGTAATTGGAATTGAAAAAAAAATTTTTTTTTAACAAAAATCACTATACTTTCAGTACAAACACTGGATGATAACAACCCAGCAGTCACTTTCTTCTTTAGTTTTGGTTTAGAAACAGAATACCTCAGGTATGTCCATTTCAGGTAGAACTCCCACACCCGAGGGCTAAGGAGTCAAAAGGAAGATGAAACACAGCTATTTAAAAACAAACAAACAAACAAAAAAAAACAAAACTTTATCTTTTAAGTTGCAAAGCATTGACTATGAAGACATTTTAACAGTAGGATTCACAATCCATAGTGAATATATAATTGTGATTTTTAAATATCAACTCATAGAGCAATTATATTTCTGCAACATACTGCATAGAAAAGACAGACACATGGGGACACAACAACACACAGATTTCACTGCAGCACTCTTAGGATAAGAAGACCAGGCTGGGAAAAAAATAAGAAAAGGATAGAGTCAACCTGGGGATATTAACCCCCAAAATGCAACAGTGTTGAGATAGCATTTCTAACCTACCACTGGCACAAATTTAAAATAATTAAAAAAATTAAATTAAATTAAATTTAATTTAAATTTAATTAAAAAAATTAAAAACAATAATGTGTTAAGGTTTTGGGGTATGCTCTAACACAGTGCTGGTGAAAATGCACATTGCTACAATCAAGAGAAACAGTAATGACTGAACTTTACCAGATCATGAAACCATCTAATCTATGGCAGAAAGAATTATATGTAAATCTAGGTGGTAAAAGCGGTTTTAATGGGGATATAGGATAATAATTCTGAAATTATGCATTAGAGTTGAACAAACAAGTAAATATTTTCAGATAATGAAAACTAGGATTCTCACTGAGAAATTAAAACCAAGCAAAAGGGAATGCTAAAGTGAACCCTGCGATATTAAATTAAAACTAGAGGTATCAGGTCAACTCTAATATATCACAATTTTATTATACACACTACATATAAAAATAAAAAAGTGTATGTCTATGTGGGTACTATGTAACAGTTTTCTTCAAGATTAAAACATTCTAGCCTGTGGGAAGCTTCTTAAGAGGAAGGTAAATAGCTCACAATAACTTCAGGAAGTCCCTGAAACTGAACAGATTCTCTAGAGTAAGCAATAAAAGCTGAGAGTCCCCCTCAGATGGAGAAGGCTGAGCTTCAGAGTACTTTTAAATAAGCCAAGCTTATCTAAAAAGAAGACTCTGGGATCAGACCAGCTGCCTGTAAGAAGCAGAAACTAGCTGAGCTACCTGAAAGAGGTTTAGACCAACTGAGGCACCTAGAAAGGACACTCTTCAACCTGTCGTGCTGCCTGTAAGCTGAGCAGTGTGCTCCAGGTTTTCCAGCTTTTGTTAGCTGTCACCCATGTTAGGGTGGGCTTTGGTAATGGTTGTCTTTGAGCTACTTCTGCTCCTATAAGTAATCCCTCATCCATATTCCTGTAAGCAACCCTAATAGAACTCACTGGTCCTTATTAAGATGGACTTTGTTCTTTGTGGGTTTCCTATCAGGTGTGAGTAGATGTGTGTGTTGTGTCCCCCAGGAAAAGTTTTGCACATAATGGTGGGATAATATACATCCACATACTTGCTAATGCTCTCTGTGAGGGGACCCAAACACAATCCCTGTGGTATATAGACTACAAAGGACACGAACCACAATCCCTGTCTACTGGCACTTTTACCTTCACAAGTCCTTCCAGTTGATGATGGGCAGGATCAGTGATTTGTGTCTAACTAATAAAGTGACAGGATGAGAGGCCATCTCCCTGTCTATAAGGAAGACACTTCATTATAAACCACTATTTTGAGCTTAGCTTAACTCCTTTGAGAGGCCTCATCCAGCAGCTGATGGAAACAGAGGCAGAGACCCACAGCCAAACTTTAGACAAAGCTCGGGGAGTCTTGTGGAAGATTGAGGGAGCTGGAAGGGTCAAGGACACCACAAGACCTACAGAGTCAACTAACCTGGGCCCATGGGGGCTCACAGAGACTGAACCACCAGCCAGAAAGCATACACAGACTGGTCCTAGGGACCCCTGCGCAGATGTAGCAGATGTGCAGCTTGGTCTTCATATGGGCTCCCTAACAACTGGAGCAGGCGGGCCTCTCTGACTCTGACGCCTCCCTTTGGATCCCGTTCCCCTAACTGGGCTGCCTTGTCTGGCCTCAGTTGGAGAGGATGTGCCTAGTCCAGCTGAGACTTAATGTGCCCATGGGCAAACACCCCTTCTCTGAGGAGAAGGAGAGGAGAACAGGGGGAAGGGGTGTGTGAGGGGGAAAAGAAAGGGGGAGCTGCAAACAAGATGTAAATTAATTAATTAATTAATTAATGGAGAAAAAAAAAAAGAAAACAAAACAAAATCCCACTATCTCGCTAGAGGGTTTTGCTACAGATTCTCTCCATAGATAACTTTTAGCAAGTGGCCTTGCTGGGAGAGAAGAAGGCCCATGTGGCAAGGAGGTGAAACAGTCTACGGCCAATATCAAGATGCTAAAGTCCTCTTCTACCCTCACAAGGAAATTCTACCAATAGTGTCTGTAAGGAGAGCCTCCAGATAAGAACCACCTCCCTGGCACCATGATTGCAGGATTATGAGACCTTAAGCTAAACACTAATTAAGCTATGCCTACATTCTGAAAAATAATAAATAAAAGGGTGCTGTTTTTTAAGCTACCAGATTTATGGCAATACTGTGTAGGAATAGACAGGTAATACTACATAACATCAGCCATAAGCATACATGGGACACAGATTCTGGTTGCTAAACACAATTTTGCAATCAAGGAAATCAGAATTCCTAAGAAGTGTCTGATTCCAGGGTCAGGGCAAGGAAAGCATTATGATGAACCTGGAACATCTGTGGTGCCAGAAAGTAATGAAATGGTCAAAACAATTTGATGTCTTGTTAAAGGAACTCAGAAGCTATTCTGAAGGGGCTCCGAAGACCAAAGGTGGAGTCACTTGAATAACGAAGTAAAGGTGGGCAATACTGGATTTTCAACTAGAATATAATATGGGGCTATTAGTTAACATCACTGTGTCAATGTTAAGAAAGAAAAGGCAGGGCTGGAGAGATGGCTCAGCAGTTAAGAGCACTGTCTGCTCTTCCAGAGGTCCTGAGTTCAATTCCCAGCAAACACAGGGTGGCTCACAACCACCTATAATGTGATCTGACACCCTCTTCTGGCATGCAGGTGTATATGCAAATAAAGCACTCATACACGATAATAAATAAAATCTTAAAAAAAAAAAAAAAGAAAGAAAGAAGACAGTATTTCCTCACAGAACAGTAGAACAGAAAGTCCAGTAATGGTCTCACACATCACACTGGTACTGGTTTTAAGCAAAATCTACCAATAAATACTAAAATCACTAAGCAAAATTTTGAGGAACATGATGTATAGACTCAAAGTATCTCCCCCAATCCTTAAAGAAAAGATAAAATTTTCACATTGCAGAAGCCCAGTAGATATCACTGCAGTCAAGAGATGAAGATTAGCCTTATCAGGGTAATGAAACAGACTAACATAATGCATCCTTCATGTGGAATTCATTAAAAAAATGCATTACCAGTGTGAGCATGGAAAAGAAAAAAAGGTAAAAAAAAAAAAAAATCCCCAAATCTCAATTTGTAAATATTCTACAAAATAACTGACCTGGAATCTTCAAAGTATCATCAGAGAAAAGAAGGGCGGGAACCCACACAGGTGTGATGAGGTCAAAGAGAAGCAAGAGCTAAACATGACACAGAGCTCTGACTAGTACTCTAACGCAGAAAACAGCCATTAGTGGTACACATATGGCCAGTAAGTACATGAAAAGATGGTCAACCATGTATCTTATTATTACGGTACATAATAAGATACGACTTTATAAAGAGGCCAAACAAGTGATGACAGTAAAAAGAAACTGGATGCTAATACGGTGGGTAACAATGTAAAACAGCTCAGCACCTTAGACAATTCCAGTCCTGAGTGTAAGCTCCAAGAGAAACGAAAACATGTTCACATGAACTTTCAGACCAACATTATTCATAATAGCAGAAACAAGTGGGAAGAGAAATGAAAAAAACAATAGTCAGTTACAATCACAATAAATGGATAAGCAAAACTGTGGTCTATTCGTGCAGTAGAATGCTGGTTAACAGAGAAATGAATGAATACGTGTACATCTACCACACGGACAAACCCAGGAAACGCTGCACTAATGAAATACGGAAGTCCCATTGACTAGATGTGCTTATGCTCTTAGGAAATGTCTCAAATAAAGATATCTACAACTAGGAAGGAGAGGAATGGCGAACTTTCCAGCTAGAAGATATGAGGAATACAGGATTTCTTTCTTTGGTTAAAAAAAAAAAAAAACAAAAAAACATTCTAAAGTTGGTTGTGAGAATGGCTGTATATATTTGTGAGAGGTTTTTCTTGGGTGATGTTTGGGACTGAATCCGGGGTCTTGTATATAGCAGGCAAGGGCTTGTCTATTGAGAAATGCCTTGTAGTCCATATCCAGATATGACTTTGTGCACTTTAAAATGGGTGAAATGTATAGCATGTCCCCCCAAAAGATATATTCTATAAACAGTACATTCTATACCTCAAAAAAAGCTATGTTATTAAAAGCCCTTGGTCCTTTCTTTCCTCATTGGCCTTCCCTTGTAGTACTGCCACTTGCTGATTACTGTTTGAAAATGCCTGTCAAAACCATTAGAATTTTATAAAAGGAACAAACATCTAAATAATGCAAGGGACATTTTGGGATAAATCTTTCTAGCTTACAGAAAATATTTGTATATAGTATGATCTGATTTTACGTGGTAGGCTACTTGACTTAAGCTTAAGAACATTAAAGCTTTTGAATAAAACAATGTAAATAGTCACTGGGGCGTTTTTATGGCAATTAAGGAAATTTGACTAGTTATTAGAAGACAATAAGAATTTATTGATAGTTTTGTGAATTAGAGCCTTATGCATGCAGGGCAAGCTATACCCTGAGCTGTAACTCCAATCCTGCCTAATCCTAACGTGGTAAACTTTGCTAAGAAATGGGTGTGCGTGCATGTGTGTATAGAGGCCTGATGTCAATGTCAAGGTGTCTTGCTCAGTTGATTCTCTTTGAGACAGGGTCTCTTGCTAAAGTGGAATGCTGAGATTTGGTTAGCCTGGTTGGCCAGCAAGCTCCAGGGATACTGCTGTCTCTATCTTTCTGGAATTAAGATTAAAGGTGCATGCTGCTATGCCTGGCTTTTACGTGACTTACGGGGTCTGAACTTAGGTCATCATGCTGGTTCAAGCACTTTACTGATTAAACTATCTCTCCAGCCCCAGAAAAATCATAATTAAAAAAAATTGTTTTTTTTTATTAACCATAGGACAGTGCTCAGTAACAGGAAAGTTTGACTGGATGATGGGCCGAGGCTGGAGCTGTATAGCTGGCAGCCTTTTTTTTTCCCCTCTTGCCAGAGGCCAGGCCATAAACAACCTGTGACAGGCAAGATGAGGCCTGTATCATGCATAAGCTTGGGTTGACTGTGGGTTTCGGGAATTTGGAGTAGGATGTAGGAATGTGAATTTTCCAGTTACCTATTCCACAGGCAACTGTTTATTAAGAAATATACTAAAAGCCTAAGAGCTACTACCATCCCTGGTTGGGCTCGAACCACCAACCTTTCGGGTAACACCCAAACACACTAACTGATTGCACAGAAATGGTGAAAAACCATATTCTTTAGAGACACATATAGAAGTGTTTTATGAATGAAACCACTCCGTATTTGAGATCTGTTTTAAAAGTACAACAGTTTTAAGAGATCTGCTGACTCAAATACAGCACAATGTTGATAATTAATGATCCTGAGGAATGGGTAAAGCGGGAGAGGGCTAGTCTTTCTTCGCTAGTATGTATCTGCAGTTAAAGAAAATAAAAAAACATACTGACTTCTAGGGAGCAACACAGGAAATAAATGTGGGTAATAGCTATGAAAACAGTAGTTGGTAGATTGTATTCAACAAACTTAAAAATTTATAGCTACCAGTTAAAGTTTTTAAAATGACAGCAGGAAAATAGAACTTAAATGAAACTAAACTAATTGAAAACCAGAGCAAAAAGGAGGAAAACAAAGGTTCATTTTGATTTTATCTCTACCAAGCTCATACTGTGTACCATGTTAATATGATACAGTGATATTCAAGAGTGCTCAGATCCCAGTCCAGGTAAAATACTCCTCAAAAGCACACAGCAGCACTTGCCTTACGAGGTTTGGCTCTTTCAGGCTGAGAGGGGCACACTGTCTTTTACTTCTCATCAGGTGTGAAGACGGCCCTTCTGATTCATTCCCAGGATTATCAGTGTTACAGGAAACGAAACTGGTACCCACCAAGACCTGGGATGTTCTGCTACCTAAAAAAGAGAATTTTCACAAATACTGTAAAACTGTATGTAAAGATATGGAAATAAATATGAGGTAAATAAATACAGTTCACCAATCAAAGAGATCAAAATTTAAAACTTAAAAAAATTCAATTTTGAAAGAAAAAGGAACTAAAATGGAAAGTACAAACTTAGGGTTTTCATTGCTGTGATAAAGACCATGTTCACAAGCAAGTTGGAGAAGAAAGGGTTTATTTCACTCAGTTCCAAAGTCCAGTCCTTCACTGAAGGCAATCAGGGCAGGAACCTGGGGGCAGGAGCTGATGGGGAGGCCATGGAGGGTGCTGCTTACTCACTTGTTCCCCATGGCTTGCTCAGCCTGCTGTCTTATAGAATCCAGGACCACCAGCCCAGGGGTGGCACCACTCACCATGGGCTGGGCCTTCCCACAAAGGACAGGAGCCTACCACAGAGGACCTCTGAAAGACTCTACTGATCGTGGTATCGAAGCAGAGGCTGAGACTCATAGCCAAACTTTGGGCAGAATGCATGGAATCTTATGGAAGAAGGGGGAGAGAGAAAGACCTAGAAGGGACAGAAGCTCCAAAAGAAGATCAACAGAGCCAAAACAAACAAACAAACAAACAAACAAACAAACAAACAAAAATAACAAAACTGAGCACTGAGGGCCCTGAAGAGAATGACACCCCAACCAAGGACCATGCATGGATAGGACCTAAAACCCTGGCTCAGATGTAGCCTGTAGACTCAGTCTCCAAGTGGGTACGCTAGTAAGGGGAGCAGGCACTGTCTCTGGCATGAACTCAGTGGCTGGCTCTCAGATCACCACGCCCTGGGGGGTGCAGCCTTGCCAGGCCACGGAGGAAGACAATGCAACCAGTCCTGATGAGACCGGATAGGCTAGGATCAGATGGAAGAGGAGGAGGACCTCCCCTATCAGCAGACTAGGGGAGGGGCATGGGAGGAGAAGAGGGAGGGAGGGTGGGATTGGGAGAAGATGAGGGAGGGGGCCACAGCTGGGATACAAATTGAATAAATTATAATAAATGATAATAATAATAATTTAAAAAAAGAGAAAAAAGAAAAAATGTAGTACAGCTTTGCCTACAGGAGGCATTTTCTCAATTCACACTTCTTCACCCCAACTGACTTTAACTTGTGTGGAGCTGGCATAAAACTAGCCAGAACAGCAGTAAAAAGGCATACAATGTTTTAGCTCTGAAATCACATAAGCTCTTCATAAACCTAAACCAGTGCCTGTTTACTCATTCAACATATACACATCTGGTTACTCGGTGTGCCGAAGTCACCATGAAGCGGACAAAGATGTGGGTTTTCTTCCGATTTTAATTGATTATTCACAATAACTATTATTTTAATAATCAGAGTTACATAAAAGTAAACACTAATGCTAAAAATATTACCTACCCATTAGGTAAAATGCTACCTACTTGATATCTTTGCAGTTTCCTCTAGTCAAAATTTTTCACTATACACCCTTGCTTAATGTCTGCTTTTCAAAGATTTACCACGTAGTGTACCTTTTAACCTTTACATGTATCTGATCAGACAAAATATATGCTGCTGGACAGAACCCCACTCTTTTAATACTTGTCTTCCGTAGAATAAATTCATTATAATTCCCTATATATGCATTTAAAACATTTAAGTTCCAACAAACACATATAGAGAGGCCTTACCTGCCTAAAGCTGATAACTGTAGTAAAGGCTAAATCAGGTTTTAGATTTCAAATGCCCAAGATAATGTTACTTTCTCAATGCACAAACTTTCCTTTCTTCTGTTTCTATAGATGATATCATACTATTTTAAAAATTTCACAAAAACGCCTAGTTAAGTAAAAAAATTACAACTCTCAAACTCTGGCCTACCTCCTCCTGACTTCTGAGTTCCGGTGCAGCGTCTGCGGGTGCCTTCCTTTTTCTTTTCGTGAGCGCCATCACTTACTTGAAAGATGCATGCACTCTCCATGGAAGAATTTTCTTCTACTGTGAGGTTTTCACGAGAAGATAGACTCAAAGGTGCAGAACTTTCACACTTACTGTCCAAGGAAGACTTCATATTAGATGAACATATCTGAGGTGCAGGTTTCAACACCTTTGTGTGAAAGTCTGGCTTACTGTTGGTAATTTTCTCATTCTCCAGATAGTTTTCTTTATCAGTCTGTTGGGAGTCGGTGTTGAGTGTGATCTCCACTGCCCCATGGGTATCTGAAGAAAGATCTAGAAGGGTCTTTCTTTTCTTTGATTTAGATGTTAGTTTGCTCACTGCTTTGGCTGGGTGGCTTCCTTCTTTTACCACCCCCACAGAAAGGGCATCTCCCAGTGTATTCACAGTGCTTTGTTTCTGCTTCTTTGGCAGGTTAGTCCGTTCTCCAGGACCAAAATCTGCTTCATTAGTCCCGTGTTTTAAGCCAGATTCCAAGGCGACAGACACCTGTAAAGAGTCGGTTAACTGCAAATTACATCTGTTCTTACTGCTTGTCAAAACTTTCTCTGCTTTACAGGGTAATCTTTGTTTTTTAACTAGTATGCATGGATTTGGAATTGGAACACAATCTTCCTTCTTCTTACTGCTGATTTCCCCATCATAGCAACTCCTAACAACATCCTGAGGATCTTGTTTAGAGCCATTCACATCTTCATTAGTATTCTCATATACTTCGTTCATTTGAGAAATGAGTTCTGATATATTGACCTTCTGACCGAGCTTCTTATTTAACGGGTCATGTACACTTCCTCCATCATTGTCATGTATTTGGTTAATTTTAGAAATTATTTCTGTCTTTCGATGTACCTTTTGTGTACGCTTCTTATCTACTTTTGAATCATTGTGACAAGCAGGTTGCATCTCATGGTCATGCTTTCTCAATCCCAGGAGCGTTTGAGTCGTAAGGTCACACAACTCTGCACTGTCCTTGTTACAGAGGGCAGGCATTTCAAACTCGCTTAAGTCTTTTAAGGTTCCAGGGGTGTCTTTATCCTTTTGTAATAAGAAAGACTCATCCTTTTCTGAACAGTGAACACCTTCATCATTACTACAGCAATTCATTCCAGAAATGACTTCTGTCTTGCGATTCACCTTCAGTTTAGGGATTTTGCTAATTTGGGAATCATTCTGAGCAGGGATCATCCTAGTGACCTGCTTGTGCAAATCCAGAACATTCTGGGTCTTACATAAGTTTCCATCGTCTCTCGTGAAAAGAAGAGGTGTTTCAAATTCTTTTGAAGCTTCTAGGATTCCACTGGTGGTCTCTTCATTCAATTGGGTTGGGAATGGAAAGGTGCCTTTTTCTTTATCACTATCCTCATGTATTTGGCTCACTGTAGAAATTATTCTTGTCCTCCGATTTATTTTCTGCTTAGTCTTATTTGTTTTTGATTGATTTTGCTGGGCATCGACATACTTTTTCAAGTCCGACACAGTCTGGGTCTCATAGTCACATATATTTTCATTATCTTTTGTGGAAAGATCAGCTACATGAAATTCATTTGCAACTTCTAAGTTTTCAGAAACCCCATCTTCAACTTTTTGGTTCGGAAGTAAGTTATCTTTTTCTGACTTATTAATTATAAATGTCTTCCGAGAAGGCTTACTTAAATTACAATGTAGGGTGTTCTGACACAAATCAAATTTGTTATCAAGAAGGAAACCGATTGACCCCTGGGAAAATTGGTATGTTTTCTGTTGCTCATCTGTCGGGTGTGTTTGCTTCCTTTTTTTAGTTTGTGTATTCTCCTGGTCCATGCTGCTCTGGAGGGTTTTCTTCAGCAGGTTTCCCTGAGGTGGCTGTTCAGTATTGGAGATACAGTTTGGGTCTTCTGAATCCCCTCTGCCATCTGGAACAACAGAACCTCTTTCTGGTCTGTTTTCAATCTTTTCCTCAGCACCCTCTTCTGAACTGCCTTTACATTTTCTCTTTGATCTTTCTTTTTTCTTATCAGAGCTTGGATCTTTCACTTTTCTGAAAGCCTCATTTCCACAATGTGCCTTTTTTTTATTTTGTTTTTTATTGCTTTTTGAAATTGTAATGATTTTGCTTACTTCGCTGGCAGTTAAATCCATGTCAGCATCTTCATAGAGAGTTTTCTGCAACTGAAACTCATCAGAGTTCTGTACTTGCTCCATGTACTTTGCATTAGGGTCACTGGCAGTCTCAGCAGAAGTTAAGTGAGGAAAACACTGTGTATTTCTTTGCATTTTATTACTGGTCTCATTAGTGCAGTCATTTACCGCATTCCAATTTGATCCTAGGCTTAAACTCTGTTGGTGATCTAAGTCTGTCACACACAAAATGTCTGCAGTAGAAGATCCACGCTTCTTCCTCTGAGTCACATTATTAAGTGACATTTTTTCACTTCTGGAGTTGGGAGATGGGGCAGTTTTCATTTCACTCAGAGAACTCTTAGGACTTTGATCTGAGTGGTAATGGTTCTCTACAAAATAAAAAAATGATAAAAATAAGTGATAAGCTACAGTAAACAAAGCAGAAACTTAGCTGATTCACAGAGAAGATTTTTGACAATCTGTTCTTCTCAGATCCTTATATTATTCAGAATTCAGGCTGATAAAAATTAGAACAACAGGAGTATTCACATGTCACATCTTACATCTGAATCCATGGAAAATGCATACTACTGAGCCTTCATTCACCCCCCACCCCACCCCAAGATTAGAATGGGCATATCCAACAACGGAGCCATTAATTACTACTTCTACAGCTGAAGGAGACCAATGAACTCAAATAATAGCAGCAACCCTGGTACAGAGGCTACCTGTGTCTGTGTAAAGGAAAATCACTATGCTTAACTGTTTCTGTATTCTAGTTTGAAAAATATTTAACAAATATATAAGCACCATAGACTACAGCACAGGATTACCAATTAGGAAGACCATGTAAATAGAAGTGTCATCATGTTTTTTTTATTAAATTTATTCCTCAGGCTCATGAACACTATCAACAGTTTCATTTCTGTTGCTCTGATAACATACAAACAAGAGCATCTTAAGGGAGAATTTCTCTGGGTCACAATTCTGGGTTACCGTCCTCTGTTGCAAGGAAGTCAACGTGGCAGGAACATGAATCAGACAGCCACTTCTGTAGTCATGAGAGACTGAATGACACATGCTTATACCCAGTTTGCCTTCTCTACTCTTAAGCAGTTAAGGATCTCCTGCGTAGGAAATGATACCACCCATAGTAGGCAAGTCTTCCCAACTCAATACAATCATGACAATCCTCCACAGACATGCCTACAGGCAAACCTAGTGTAGACACTCTTTCATTGAGATTCTCTCTGCAGGTGATTCTAGATTATGTTAGTTGACAAGCAAAACTAACCATCATAATCACTAACTGGTTATGATTTTGAAAAAGTCACTTCATACATCTAGACCCACACTTTTCATATCCATAGAAAGGAGACTAATGGTATTTCAAGTCACAAGCTAAGCAAAAAGGAAATCTTAGTCCTGCGTATTTCTGAAGATTTCTTCTAACAAGACAGTGTTAGGTCCCTGTGGATGTGACATTTGTCAGGATATTTACTTCAAGCTGAAATTTTCACCAGTATTTTTAAGTGGCAGAAGTTAGCAAGCACAAATTTATAATACAAGAGATATACCTAACTCTAACTCTTTAGACATTGTTGCCCTCAAGAAAATCCAATGAACAACTACATAAGTTTTAAAAACAACCTTACTTTTGGGAAGTACATCAACACTAGACGTATGTTCTGAACGACCTGAACCACATGTTTTCTGATGATCTTCCTTAGGAAGTAATACTTCCAAATTACACTGATATAAGGATAAAGGTTGAAGCTGTCTTGATACGGAAGTGGTACTATCAGGTGATGTCGTTGATTCAATTCTGTTGTTACACTTTGTTTTCCATTCATCGTCATCATCATTTTCTGAAGTTAATGGAACCCTAAAGGCAAGTAAAAATAAAATAAGAAATTCTGTGTTTTATAAAAATGATGTAGAAAGAAAAGAAAAGACATCATTATACTTATGCCAATAATCTGACCATTTAGAAAATATGAAAGAATTATTTGATGAAAAAGTAAAATTTTGATAAGCAAAAACATAAAAAAAATAGGATATGGGCTGGAGAGATAGATGGCTAGCATTTAGAGAACATACTACTTAACTCTTCGTGAGGACCAGAGTTTGGTTCCTACTACCCATACTGGGCAGCTCACAACTACTTTTCACTTCAGCTCCAGAAAGCTCTGTTTCTAGTCTCCATGAACATCTGCTCTCACTACATGCTTATAAACACACACAAAATTAAAAATAATAAAACTATTTTAAAAAAGAAATAAGATACTATTAAAACCTCTCTGTCTGAAAACCATAGGCTTAGATAGCTTTTCTCAAGCTCTTAAAGAAAAATACCACTCTGTGCTTCTCTTCCCGAAAACAGAAGAGAACACTTTATCAGTCAGCATAACTGAAATACCTAAACTTGAAAAATAATTGCAACAAAAGAAAATATGAATAACATTCATTATAACACATATGCAAAACACCTTTAAAACAACATTAATAATTTTGTGATACAGAAAAGGAATGCAATGGCGGTTTATTATTCAAAAAAAGATCATTGAGAGACATGTTCAGCAGGTAAAATTATTTGCATGCAAAGCCTGATGACCTGAGTTCAATCCCTGGAACCCATGTGAATGTAGAAAGAGAGACTCCACCAAGCTGTTCTCTGATCTCCACACATATGCCGTGCATTTGCACCATCACATATCATGCGTACACATACACCCACTAACAGTAATCGACCATCATTGTATTTCATCTTAGGAATAGAAAAACATTCAAAATTCATTATACTAATAAATATCTTTTCATCAACACTTGAAAAAGCACTTGATTAATTCAACAGCTCTTCATGAAGAAACTCGAAGCAACTTATTTTTATTTGTATTTTCTTTTTCTGAGACAGTCTTATTGTGAATATCAGCTGCCCTTAATAGTCTTTAGATGACTGACTCTTTAGATAATTGAAAAATGAGAAATGAACTCTTTAAATAAAAGTTAAAAACCTGACAAAGAAATAGGAAATCTGAATTTCCCTAATTTTTAGTAAAAGAAATGAAATCTTATCAAAAAGTTTTTGACAAAAAAATAAATAAATAAAACAACAAACAAAAACAAAACTGTAGGCTTAGGGCCAGTGAGCTGGCACACTGGGTAAAAGCGGTTGCATGCAAGTCTGAGGAATCTAGGTTCAATCCCTAGAACCCACGGTGGAAGCAAAGAAATAACCATTAAAGTTGTCCTAGCATAGCTATCCTTTGAGGCTCCACCCAGCAGCAGGTGGAAAGATATGCTAAGACTTACAGTCAAACATTGGGTGGAGCGCAGGGAGCCTTGTGGAGAGTGGGAGTTAAGATGGAAAAACTTGGAGGTGTCAGGAGCTTCACAAGATCAATAGAGTGTGTGTAGGGGCGGGGGTTGAAGAGACTGAAACACTAACCAAGGACATGTATGGACTGGACCTAGGACCCTACACATGTACATGATGGACAGCTTGGTCTTCATGTGGGTGCCTTAGTAAGGGGAGTGGGGCTATCTCTGACAAGGGGACTTTTGCATGCTCTTAGATTATTTCCCCTAGCAGGCTGCCTTGCCAGTATACTGTGGTAGAGGATGTCTCAGTCCTGATATGACAGGATATGCTGGGATGGGTAGATGGAGGAGCTCCCCTTTTCTGAGGGGAAGGGGAGGGGAATAGGGAAAAAGGTAAGGAGGGTGGGACCGGGAAGAGAGGAGGGAGGGAGCTACAACTGGGATGTAAAGCAAATGAGGGAAAGAAAAGAGGAAGGAAGGGAGGAAGGGAGGAAGGAAGGAAGGAAGGAAGGAAGGAAGGAAGGAAGGAAGGAAGGAGAAAAAGACAAGACATAAAAAAACTCTATACAAGTTCTGTGGCACCATGCATCTACATGCACACATACACACACACACACACACACACACACACACACACACACACACACACA